ACTATGGTCACTTTCTGGAAAGTGGTAAATTGAGTTTCTTTTAGAGAGCTTTTGAGAATCTCTTCTTGTATTTAGCCATGGAAGCACTGTGGCTAATATTACTGAAGGAATACTTACAGATGTTTAATGTTGTTAGTTAAAGATTTAACAGAGTGTTATTGTGGATATTGTGTAATGTATACAATATTTATATTGTATACTTTAAGGGGCTATAATTTAAGGGGCTCACTTCTTTTCCATTTTCGCATATTACATGATCTTATCACTTGAAACTTTGGTATTATTAACTCAGGCATTCTTGTTTTGAATCAGTAAGATATTTATATAGAGAGAGAGAGCCTTGGTAGTACAGTGGTCTAAAGCACCCTGTTATTAACCCAGCTGCCTGCAATTACTGCTGGTTCGAATCTCTCCAAGGCTCAAGGTTGACTCAGCCTTCCATCCTTTCTAAGGTGGGTAAATTGAGGACCCAGTTTGTGGGGGCAATAAGCTGACTTTGTATAAATATACAAAAGTATGAAGGCTATTGCTTAACGCATTGTAAACCGCCCTGAGTCTCCGGAGAAGGGCGGCATATAAATCAAATTAAAATATATATATATATATGTAGAAACTCAAAAAATCCAAAAGGGGTGAATAATGAGTGGGTTTTTGGTTGCATTTCAAATTATTTTGTTAAATTGTTTGAGCAGATAATACTCACACTGTAAACTTTATTAAATTAGTTTTAATTCCATGTTTGGTTTAGGAGGTTGGTCTTTTTCTTTTGTTTCCCAGCAGATACTGAGTTTCCTTTAACCATAAATGGTCTGGAATGTTATCAGGGATTTTCCACACTTTTTTAAAATCAGGATTTCAAACGTTCACAGCTTGCTATCATGTTGTTAGTATTTTCCATTGGTCTGTTTGGGTCAAATAATTTTTAAACAGGAAAAAAATGATTAAGGCTATAAAACAAACTTGTGGTTGTGTAGCTTTGATCATTTTCCATGCAGGACAGACTGAAAGATCATGTTCCATTTTTAATGGCATTCTAGGACGAGTTTGAGGAGCTATTAAATGACAAGGCACAATACAGGGCTCTAATTTGAAAACTCTTGAGTTATTTATTTATTAGGTTGGTTGGTTCCCATGAATTATTTTGAACATAATGATCTTCAGAAGTGGGTTTTATAGAGCTGATTTCATCTCTGTGGCTACAATCCTAGTTAAGGTTAGTTAGGAAGTCCTAGGGTGAGCTGCGTGAACAAAGTTTTGATTCTCCATGATACTCATTATTTGTCTCATAAAATTTAAACACGCTGTTTTTGGCAAGAAACTTGAACTCCCATGCCAGTAGAGTTTCTGTTGGACTTCTTTTTAATAAGTGCTTTCAAATGGTAAGACAAAATAGCTACATTTGGTGATACAATTGCTTGTTCTTGCCTTAAATAACTAAATAACTTAATAACTAAAGAGAACATTCAGAGTTAATATGATCATTTTGGTGCATAATGCATAGATATTTAGTATCCCATATGCAACTTTTCCAAATTTTCAAGATTTGGCTTTTCAGTGCATCGAGGTACTGTTATAGCTATATACCCGTGATGGCGAACCTATGGCACACGTGCCACCTGTGGCACGTGGAGCCATATCTGTGGGCACGCGAGCGTTGCCCTAGGTCAGCTCCAGCACACATGTGTCTGCTGGCCAGTTGATTTTGGGGCTGTTTTCGCCCTCCCCAGGCACCAAGAAGCCTGGGGAGGGCAAAAAACGGGCCTACCGGGCCCACCATGCCATTGCGTGCCAAATGCAGGGGGAGCATGGGGGGTTGAGGCGCATTGAATTATGGGTGTGGTCACGCATGTGCACGATCCCCCTGTGCTCCCCCCACTTTTGGCATTCACTGCTATATACTATTCAAAATAAATGACTGGATGTGAAATATGTTAACAATGTTTTAGAGGGAGAAGCAGCAATGTCCTCATTTACACAGGCCTCTTTCCCAGAAACTGAACAATATTTAATTTTGCATTGTAAATTTTGATAGTAATCTGAGGAAAGGTCTAGTAGTGTTAGGTTGACCTTATTTTATTGGCAAGTTCTGTACCATGATTTGCAAGCAGACAGAATTCAAGTAAAATAGTTCAGCACCTTTGTTTCCAAATCCTATTAGAAAAATTAGGTAAGCCATGCCAAAATCCAATTTACATTTTGATGGATTTCTTATTGTCATACTTGAGTGATCATTATCTGAAGTCCAGTTTCTATATAGTACAATATAGTTTCTGTTTCTTTGTTTTGTACAAAGAATAGAGCAATCTGTGTTTTCTGATACTTCATTTTTTATAGTAAACAGTCTTTGCTTTCACACAGTTTTGTATCTTTTCCTCCGGAAGCAGTTGTTAAACTCTTAAATGAATAGAATGAGAAACATAAAAGTCCCCAAAAATAAAAAGCAGAACCTGACAATATTCAATTAAAAAACAACTTGTCAGTAAAATTGGAGTTTCAGTTTCTTGTAGGCATAATTACAAATTGCCTTCAAATTGGGACTAATATGGGAAAAGAGAATTATGAATTCCTTTATAAAGTACCATTTAAAAAGTCTTACTATATCTTATTTTTCCACTCACTGACTCAGATTCTAGGTATGTTTATATGTGTAGCAATAGTTTCTCCTTTATGAAGTTTCTTAAATCTTTGCTACAAGGCAGCTTATGAATAAAAACAAAAGGTCAGTGGGAAGTTTCAGGAAACCCTGGGGATATTGTTACAGTGACTTAATACAAAAACATATTTTAAGAAGACAGATCTTAAGAATGAGGTCATAAGATAATGGAATTGGAATGAAAAGTAAAGGTGCAGGGAGTGTCCGCTGTAGCATTTAGATGTCATGGCTCTTAATTATTAAAACCCTCCAGTATGTAGATATATAATTACATTTACCTAAGTTCACCTTTTTTCTTAAATGGAAGTAAAATTATAATTTAATGAGGAAAATAGACAAAATAGTTATTTTGCAGGGGGAATTGATTTACGCAAAAAACAATTATCTAGCAATAATTGGATAAGAATCCTTATGTCCAGGTTATTGAGCTAAAAGTTGCACTATAGTAGCTTGCTTCCATGTATGAAATGTCTTGATGTTTCAACAGGTGGCAACCAGTGGTGGGTTGCTACCGGTTCATCCCGAATTGGGCGAACCCGTAGCGGTGGTGGTGGGAGGCTCCGCCCACCTGCCCGGATGCACACGCGCAGAAGCATTGCACGTGCGAGCACCCACGAGCAAAATGGTAGCGATGGGTTTTGAAACCCACTATTGGTAGCAACATATGGCTGTTAAAATCTAGGTTTGGAAAGACAGCAGCAAACCACTTTCATACTGTTGGCAGGAAAACTGCATAGATATATTCATGGAGTTTGCTGTATGAAACTGCTGGTAGAGTAGAACGCAAGTAGAAATACTAAAGTTGGGTACTCGGACTGAAAAAGGAAGAAGCAGAGACCATGAAAGAACAGTGTAATAGTTTTGGAAATCCACTTGTCAAGACTCATGCTAATGCCCACTGCCAGGAGTTCAATCCTGACCGTCTCAAGGTTGATTCAGCCTTCCACCCTTCCAAGGTTGGTAAAATGAGGACCCGACTGTTGAGAGCAATATGCTGACTCTGTAAACTGCTTAGAGAGTAATGTAAAGTACTATGGAGTGGTATATATGTCTAAGTGCTAGTGCTACCTTGGCAGATAATCTCAATCAGAAAAGCAGGATTTTCACTGAGTGTTCTTTAACCAAATTTATTGAAAGGATACAGAAATCTTGGCAAGTGGATATGTTTACTTTAGAACTCAATTATTTTTAACTGAATTAGGAAAGGGTTTCTTGATCTTCCTAGCCACTTTTGATATATTATTTTCTTGGTAAAGAAAAACTCTGCAGATGTTCTGGGCTTATAATATTTTGCAAACTGCCAATTTCTTTTCCAGAATCTGAGAAGCCCATTCCAAAAGACCTGCTTTATTGAATACTCTAAAGACGTTTAGAGCATAGGGTAGTTTTGCTGCAGGAACTTCGTTGCTCTCTACGGTTCATGACTGATGTTATCTGGTCTTGAAAACTAAACATGTTGGAACTGATGAAAAATTAGATGGTAATACCAAAACTGTAGGTTAGACTTGATGAAAAAAACAATGGCAAATCACTTCCATACTTCTGCCAAGAAAATGAATGAGTTCATGAAATCCCCCAGGAGATGAGCTTAACTTTAAGGAAATTTTACTTTTAATCAAAGAGGAATGAAAATGGTTATAAAAACAATATACCGAGATATAGTTCTGTTTTCATGATTTATTTATAGTTCTTATTCATCTCTCCCCAAATGTAGTCTCTATGTTCATATATTTTGCATCTGTTTGTGCAAACAAATTCCCGAGAATATATTCTAGTAGACCATATTATACATTATGTGTAACTAGAGAGCTATATAGACAGCTAAATACTCTGTTCTTTACAAGCTGACAATAATGACATTTATGTTGCATTTTTTGAAAATGTTAAAAACATTTATTTCACTAGCTCTGAAATAATTACATTTTTCCCAGAAAACTGCTTAAGTTGTATGAAACCCAGGTATGTTAATAATACTGAGAGGGTGGTGGGGAGGCTTACTATAGGAAGATGTCATTGATTTTATTAGGTATTTAATGGAGATGATTAAGCTGTCACTAGGAGTGAAATCTGAATACATTTGCAGCTTGAAAAACATACAGGGTATAGTCTGAGCAACACAGTATGTTTAGTCTTTGAGAGCATTCTTTGAGAGTATTGGTGAACAGGTAAAGTATTGTTATCTCCCATAATAGAAGGCCTGTTCGGGATGGACTCACTGAAGGGATTACAGTAATATAGAGTGAAATTGATCTGGCAGAGACTCATTTTACACAGTTAAAGGTAGTTTCATTTTCTGGGGAAGAAAAGAGCAGACAACATTAAGGCACCCTTTTCATTTATTTCATAGGATTACCTTGATTGTATCACTGACCAATCTAAGCTGTCTTTGGGTACAGAGGAGCGATCGGCTTTGTTTGGAAACATAAAAGACATTTATCATTTCAATAGGTAAGTAAATATTAAAGTTGAAAGCATATGTAGAAATGAAACATTAAAGCTTTTCCTGGTTTGTTTTTTCCCCTTCCAGGAAGATTAAAGGATGAAGGTTGAAAAAAATGAATAAAGAAAATTGGGGAGAGCAGTACTTGAAACAGATTAACAATATTATAATCTTCAGAGTGAGGGTAAAAAAGGGTAATAAAAGATATTTCCAGAGCTGTATCATGTCTCCCTGTGATATTCCTTCATATTGTTAGTGATTTTAAATGCTGTTAGTTTAATTTTGAGACTGGCCTGTGCATGGCCAGAAACTGGAATAAACAGAGCCACATGCCAGTGAATGTTTAGGAACATATCTGCTCCTTTTCTGAATGTGGTCTTGCCACAAAATCATCAATGCTTTTAGAGAATTTGTGCATAATACTAGGAAGGACTTGAGTATTTTGCAGGTTCAGTTTCTTTTATGCCTGTTATTTAATTATTTTACAAGATGGGCCCGTTTCGGAGAGGTTCTCTCCGTTTATAAAAAAAAATGTTTTGCTTTCTCTGAAGCTGCAAAGATCCTTCTAAATTCAAATTTGAAGTTTGGGGATTTACTTGCCCAGAGAAGCACAAATGGCAGCCGGGGTGTTTATATCTATTTTAGTAAATCCCCCTCCATCCCTATGAAGAAAACGTAGACCAGACATCAAGGATATGTGTCCTTGTCACATCTGGACTGGATTGTGGAACATGTTTTGCTTTTGCATACGTCTATAGTCAAATATTGATATAGTCAAATATCAAATATGACTTTGATATTTCAGCTGATTTGGTTTTGAAGGAACTAAAGCACAGCTGTCAAACTCCTGGCCCATGCCCAATTTAGCGAAGGGGGAAAAAGTCCCGATACATCACATGATGCTGCCATGATGACGTGAGTTTGACACCCCTGAACTAAAGCAAAGATAAACTACTTCTATATTAAGCTTTTGGCTGTATGTATACAATCATTTTCAGACTATTCCAGATTGAAAATGGGAGCAGGACCTGTAAGTGGCTGTAACAAAGCAAACATTTAATTGAAATTGAATTAAAATTAAAATGAATTATGAAATTACAAATTTCATTTATATGGATCCTTTCCATGTATTTAAATGATTACTTCTCCTAGCATATTAAAATCACACATGTTGAAATTCTTGAAAACGTTGGGAAGGAATAAAAATTGTGCTAGATGATCAGATCCCACCTCATCAGCTCTTCAATATTCAATTCATATAATATGAACATGCTAAGATATGCCCTTATTTTTACTTTTGTAGATCTAAAAACTGGATTTTAAATCCTTCTAGCTAACTAAGAGAGTCATCTGAACCTCTGAAGGACAGCAGTGGGCAGGCAGGCAGAAATTATTCCTAAAGGCAGGCATTGGCACAGAAAGTTAGGCTCCCTAGATCTCATCAAATTACAGTATATAGCTTCAGGGAATGGACCTTTTGCCTGGTCATTCTGTGAGAGCAGGGAGGATGGGCAGAAATGGTGGGAGATAGGGAGTCCCAGTCATTTTTGCGGTTAAGTTTAAAATAAAGAACATACTGTAATTTTCCACTAAAAGCACTTTTTATCTCTTGCCAGAATATTAAAATTGTCTATAACTTTATCATATTTTAATCTCTATGTTACCTCAGGGAAACCATTTTCAACAATATCTCAACATATTTTATATAAAAAATTAAACTTCACCTTTTAAAGCAAATTAGGCAGCTGTAATAGCTGCATTGTGTCTGCTTTTCATCACCCTCCCATTTGTAAAGGCTTATCAAACTTAGCTCCAACATATTTAATTTAAAATTAAGTATTTATTTACCACTTGAATTATTTCATGAACCACTTGTCATAATAATAATAAATCTTAGCTCAAACTTCTTGGCCAGGTATGCTTTTCAATGGAAATTTGTGGGATCTATGGGAACCATTTTAGATACTGCCTCATTTCCTATTTCCAACTTTGGGGAGGAGTAGCTTTTTTAAAATCAAAACTGGAATGTTAGGTATTTTCCATTTTATTTGTGTAGCTAATATTCTGCCTGGAAAATGGAATATTTTTTTTTTCATTCTGCCACAGTGAATTTGGCTGACTTGGGTCATGAATCTTGATGTGTCATAAGAACTAATATTAACAATGCTTCTTCATAGTTACATCATTGTTACATCATATTGTGCAACTGTGTCATAATTGGGTGAATGTAAAGATCTTGGAGAACTGGTCACCAAGCATGGGAGTTAAATTGAGCATGTCATAATTAAAGGTAGAAGTAGAATTAACTACATTAATGATAACCTTTGTGAATCTATTATGCAACACCAATCAAGATATCACTAATAAAAACTTCCTTTGCATAGGAAAAGAATAGTATAAGTAGCGTAAGAATTCTTTTTAAACTTGCTTGCAATTTTGGCTTGTTGGTCAATTTTCTATGTAATCCATTCTCATTTTCAACAAGGCCCCACCCACCCTGATAAAGCCCTTCAAAATTATGCCAAATCAGCAATCAATCAGCAGATTTAACCAGAACAAAGTTCTTTATCTTCATTATGATAAAGATAACTAGTTCTTAATAATGTTCTAATCCATATCTGGTAAACCATTCCAGACACACCTTGACAGAGTTACCATGATTTTTTTTCTTGCTGAATTCTGTAAAGACACAATTGTTTTTGCCCAATTTTTGCTAGGTTTTGCACCAGAGTTTTGCAAATCTTGGCCCAAAACCGAAATCACAACAAAGCCCACACAAACAATAAATACTACTGAAAGCAGCTGTGTCTGAAAATGTGTGATCATGGAATTCTCTTAAGCAATCTTTCTTTACCTCAATCCAGCCATTTCATGAAAACACTTGTTTAGCAACATGCAAGAGACATATATTGTTTCCTACCTGTCATTCATATACGTTTCATAGTCAGTGTGCCATAACAATCAATTATCAGTTTCTCAGAATCACATTTCTTACATATATCTTCATATGTTGGAAAATAATTGGGAGGATGACAGTAAATTAAAAAATAAATCCCATTGTTTCTTTATTTCCAGTTGCCAGCTCAGATTACTTTGGTACCCTCATATAAACATACATACATATTTTGCACAAATGCAAAACAGCAATCCAGATGCTGTAGACAAAAGTTAACTGATACATAGCATGAGTAGCTGAGCTTGGAAGAAGCAAGCCTGTACATGCTAAATGAATAGTGAGCCACATTATTTTTGAGCTTCCAACATACATGAGATCAAATTGTATTTGGTAGTTTGCTCACAGATAAAGTGATGATATTGAAACTGTCCATGAGGCTGTAGCATCCTAACTATATTCAGAGCCTCAAAACTGTCTGCAAGTTTATGATTTCAGTTTAACTTTTTCACTTTCCTAAGTTAAAACAAAAGTACTGTATTTTCAAAGGAAAGAGCAGTTTGAACATACAATATTGCAGTACAGACAACAAAAAGTGTTCTGGTGCTTGTGAGATGAAATGTGTTCAGTGTAACCAAATTCAACATACCAAATGTTGTTTAAAAGAAACCTAGTTGGTAAGTTGGTATAATTGTCTTTTGCCTGGTTTGAAGGGTTTCTGTACATCCCTGAGTACAGAATAGCATTATGTGGATGAATGAAAAGTGGGTTCATATATATGTTTGTCTGGTTTCCCTTAGCATGATATAAAAATCCCATTGCTTGTTTATGGTTTTATTTGTTATGGCTTTGCTTGTTTATTCAAATGCAGCCTATTGTAGTGTATTTAACAAATTGTGTTCAAACAAACCAAGGCTTAACATATGTGAATCCACTTGAAAACTGTTCAGAGCTAATAGGCAAAAAGACACATATGCAGCCTATTTATTATAAAACAGTTTTGTGTGTGCTGCATGAAACTGCATGACATTTCCCTTTCCCTTTTCTAGTATTAAGCAGCGAAAAATCCTTAAATGCTAAAGAGATGCAGAAAACTATATTGGCGTCGTAGGAAGAGGCAGCTTTGCAATGATGCACATGTGTTGCATATGTACAGGTTCTTAACAATCATTGTAAAACAGAACCAGTAGTTGCTTTTTTTTATCCTGATAAAGATAACAGCTGAAGTAGGGAAACAATAATGCAAGCAAGCCAAACAGACATTTATTCACATCATTAATGGAATTATAAAAGGAAAAACTGATAAGAAACCTCTAATTACTTCTCAGCATCATAGTAGGAAACACAATGAATGCTGCTGTTCAGGGTGGGTTCTACTTACCTTTACTACCAGTTTGCATCATGCCCATGCGCTTGCTTCACTTGCTCACGCGCACACTCTTCTGCACATGCGCAGATCTACTTTAATGATGTCCAGGTCAATGGGCGGAGCCTCCCGCCAGTTTTACTACTGGTTCATGCGAACCAGTTCGAACTGGGGGCAACCCACCACTGGTGCTGTTTTATTTTAATAGAATTTTAAATGCAGTATCAATTTTAACTGTAGGCAGTATATATTGGCATATGATGATAATAATTGCCATGTTGCCCTTTCTTTATGAACTAGTGAACTTCTGCAAGATTTGGAAAACTGTGAAAATGATCCTGTAGCTATAGCGGAATGTTTTGTTTCTAAGGTGAGTGATTATATTATCTTTTGATGATAATAAGATCTTCAGTATTTTGCATTCTCAGAATATATAAATGGAAGATCAATCCATCAGTTCCCAAATGCCTATAACAAATAAATCATAGGATGCAAATCTTTTTTAAAAAAATTACTGTATTGACTTCGCTTATGTTACCATTCCACTAAATTTTCCTGAATTGGTGAAGCAATATGAAAATATTCCAAGCTTACGTCATTATTTAATTTTACTTTGGCCATCTCTTTCTCTCCCTCTCTCTCTCTCTCTCTCTCTCTTTCTCTCTACAATTGGCTTTTCCTTTCTTCTTTCTCTCCTAATCTGGTAAAGCTGACCAAGGCATTTAAGTCAATGGCTCTGTGCATTATAGAAGCAGCAGTCTAGATTTTGTGATGGGAAATCTTTGACTCTTGCTTAAAATTGGTTCAAAGTCTTTGATATGTTTATGTTTAGAAATAAGAGGACAGCTTTGTCCTTTCAGCTGGTCACCAAAGGGGAAAAGTTGAAAGCAGACAAGTGTAGGCAATTTGGCTAGTCATCCTCTCCTCTTTCTTCCCTTGACAAAGGGAGGTTTTAAGCTTCACACAGTAGTTTCTATTGGCCAGACATATTTATATCTAAAAAGAAATGTATGTTGATTTGTAGTTAGTAGCTCTCTTGTTTTAAGTACTGCATTTTGCTAAGACTTGCATGAGTTGAGGGCTGCAGATTTATGGCTGTCTGTTGGCCGCTGTCCATATTACTCAGTTCACCTGAACATCAAAGAACCCCTTTTAGATACTGTATTCAGGAATATATGAAAGTAAAACTAGAAGTGCAGGTTTTAATGAAACCATAAATATCTTTTGATTCAAAGGTTGACAACTTTAGTTAGTAATCTGAACTCGGTATTATTTTGCCCTGACTTATAGCCTCCTTCCTTTTATAATTTGCAAGGCAAGGGTTGTCAATACAGTATTTGCACTACATTGCAATGGTTGTGGTAGTCAAAGTACAGCTTATTAGGTTAAGTTTGTGCAACAAAATACTATTTCTAGCTTGCATCAGTACAGCTACACAATGAAGATCTGATTAAAAAAAGGGCAGCACACAAATATTTTATTTTGTTTGAGTCAAACACGAAGATGATTTTCTCTCTCATTTTGTAAGTTTTTGAACTCCAATTGACTTGATAACTGAATCTTAACACTGGTGCAGATGCCAGAAGACTGGCCACATGGTCTACTAATTTGTTTTCCAACACTTTACTGCTACCTCCTATTAGCACTGCCTGCTTGCAGTAAATGCTTTATTCACCCACCCTTGGCAGTGGTGCTGTTTCCAGCACCATTGGGTATTATGTTATATTCAATATTTGATGATCACATGGAAAAGAAATACTGACAGCATAGTGAACAAAAGTCTCACACAGCCAGTGCCAGAGTACATCAAATGTTGAGCAGCAAGGCCAAAGGTTTTTGTTTATGGATACTTCTGGACAGAGTCACTTTTCATTTTTTAATTTTTTAACAATCGCTCATATAGAAATGCCAAGTATTAGTAATGGAATTGTTGCAGCAATTGAAAACAAGCAGTTTGCAGGCTAAACATTTTACAAAAGAATGGGTAGCTTAAAATCCTTTTAAAAATCCAGCATTTTAAAATCAGGGAACAGATTCATCTTCCCTCCTTTTGGATGATCCACAAATCTGCTCCTTCCGGTGCAGTTTCAAGGATGTAATTAGCCGATATGGTTTGCAAGAAATGTGTTATAGGAGTAGAAATGTGGCTGTACAATATTGAATGTCTGCTATTATTGATGCATTTTTATTGATGTATATCAGACTAGTTGAGATCATTTCTTAATTTTTTAAAATCTCTTTCCAATATGAGACTTTTTTTAAAAAATTGGATGAAAAACAAAAGAGGGCGTAACAATTTTTAAAATAAATGTTTTTTTAAAGACCAGTCATAGCCAGTGTTTCTGAATGTTCAGCATGGTTATATAGTGAACTAGATACGTATTTTCTGCCTTTTGCTCATAAATGCTTACTTATGTACAGATTGGGCGTGTCTTCAGCAATGAACATTTCATTTGGATGACACTGAAGAACCCCCAATTTAATATATGCAATAACTGGAATGATTCTACCAGCTAATAACAGAGTGTAATGTCTCTGTTGCAAATTATGGTTAACATGATTATTACTTCATTGCAGGCAGTAGATTTCTACCGTAGTTGTTAGTTCAAAGCATATATGTAGGCTGTGATGTAAACTTATTATGTCTCATGCCAATGAGGGCAGCTACATGAATTTGAAGTTTAAACCCAAAGATAAAATATCAGCAGTGGCTATGTGGAAATTTTTTAAATTATTAGCTGGGATGGTCACAGATTAAGACAGTTTTTTCAGCTGAATAGTGTTTTTATTAGCCGTGAAACACTATGCAAAAAAAAGATAGGTATGCTATGCACACTCGGATATTGTTGCACATTGAGAAATGCTCCATGAATGTTTATCCTTCTGTTTGGCCACTGTTCCCCAATCAGTTTTGACCAGTTTACACAATTTAAGGTAGTTTAGGCCATTAAAACACACCTACAGCCACACATAAACAAGGGTAAGGCCAACAGCATTTGGTAGCACCTTTTCCAGTTGCAACCATGAATGCAATTTCTGTCTCGGTTGTCATCATGAACATTGCAATCTCTCTGTTAATGCACATTGGCTATGGAGCACATAAAATGGTTGTACTAAAAGAAGATATTTAGATGCGCTAGTGTTAATTAACCTGAGGATTTTTGAGGAATTGGTTTAAGAGAATCTGTACAAGAATAATGCTTTTGATCATCTATATATTTTACATAAAATTGTTACGTAAAATTTTAACTTAATGCAATTTAATTGTTACCTAAAAGTTAAATAAAATTATATGTGGTTTTCCTTTCCCAAGGCTTTTCTTCAAATTGCAAGAATGTAAAATGTGCTTTATAAAAGATACAGTATTCTAAATTATATGATCTTTATGGAGGTCAGAGGTACTTCACTGTTTTTTTAAAAAGTAATCTGATAGGATGTTTATTTGTAGCTGACAGTCATTTCTCATCTGCCTTTTTAAATCTTGGGGATAAATGGATGGGTGAAGGCCTTCAGTTACTCATTTTGGGACAGAATGGATTGGACTGGCTTTGAAAACATAGTTAATCCCTGGGACTGGCCAATATCATTTTAGTATGTCAATGTACTGCCTTCTGTGCTCATCGCTGGTTGATTTTTGGCTAGTTCAAGTTAAATCTAAATAAGTTATCTTATTTTTCTGTGGACCTTCTGGCAAATAAATGTTTCCAGGTTCTAAATAAATCTTTCCATTTGTTTATGTACAGAGTGAAGATTTCCACATATATACACAGTATTGTACCAATTATCCAAGGTAGGAACAATTTTGTGTGTGTGCGTGCCTGTGGGTAGTTCTGTCTCTATATCACTCGGTGTTTCCCACTGTATATTTTCAAAAGGTAATATTTGTTAGGGCTGTAGAGCACTTTGGAACTGAAGGCAAACAGGTGCAGGCGTCTGGGTATTTAGCATAGGCCTATGCTTTCACGCTTTTCCTTCTATAGTTGTTGCAGAATCCTTAGAAAAAATGTCCTTTGTTTAAGGAGGAGCAGAGAGGTGAAACATTTATGGACCCATGAATATACCTTTTTACCTTGGAATTCAAAGTCCTGAAGAAGCCAAATGAATATTACCTTTTTATGTTGCCTGAAATTTGAAATGATCACTTAATCAGAATTAATCTCGTAAAATTTATGGAAAGTATGGGGGGGGGGGATTGTAAAGAAGATATATGCTCCTTTTCACAATGATGTCTGAACATACAAATATGCTAAGCCATTATTTTGAGTACAAGAAGTTAAGCAACGTTGATATACTTATTACATAGAGTAATAATGAAATATTTGTGGGGTTATTTCCTACGTTTTGACGTAATTATTCATAAGCTTTTGTTTGGCATTCACCTGCATTTTATGTTAATAATAAAATAAAATAAAATTATGTTAATAGTTAATTGTTTTAATTTGTTTTTAATGGATTTTGTTATTATGTTTGTTTATATATGTTTTAATTTTTTGTTGTGTTCACTCTGTAAGCCACCCAGAGTCATGTATATGAAGTGGTTGGTTATTTAAATGTAATGCGTGGTTAAGTAAGTAAACAAATAACCAAATGATGAATGATGAGAATGTATTGTGGTAGACAGGAGGAATCTTTAAAGTAGCATTTCTGTTAGATATTGTTTGGTTCAACTATGGTGGCTTCTTAGGTCAATATCTTATAATTGTATGGGAGTTTCCATCTTTAAAATGTCTTCCTAATTTCTTGTCCTTCAACAAGTATGAATTAAGCTTCTGTACAGACGATGATAGACAGTGTTTGTGTGAGGCAAATAAAAAGGAGGAAAAAAAATAAGATTCTTGTATTGATTTGCTTCTACAGACTTTTTTTTTAAAGATTTCTGCCCTATTTTCCCCAAAAGAAAGAATCATTGGAATAGGGTGGTGATTTTCCCTGAGGTGATTCAGAAACAATATGGTGGAATCTAATAGTTCTTCTCATTAAAAAAAATCTAATAACTTTTTTCTTCAAAATCCATTCTAAACAGAAAACAATTTTAGGAGAGGAAAGCCCCCCCTTTCAGATAGACCAGAGATTTTCAAACTTGGCAGCTTTAAGACTTGTGGACTTCATGGACAGCTATGCTGGCTGGAGAATTCTGGGAGTTGAAGTCCACAATTCTTAAAGCTGCCAAATTTGAAGACCTCTGATGTAGACTGTCCCAAATCCATCTAGTTTATAAATTGCTGAACTGTCAGACTGAATAGCAAACAAGCAAACATGTCCATTGAATTGGTGGTTTTCTGCATAATTAACAGGTTAACAATGTTCTGAAAGCTGTGTTTGTATGCTTTACAGGTCAGTGGCTGTACTCACTGAATGCATGAGGAACAAGTCCCTAGCCAAGTTTTTCAGAGAAAGACAAGAAGCTTTACAACATTCTCTTCCTCTGGGATCCTATCTTTTAAAGCCTGTTCAAAGAATACTGAAATACCATTTACTTTTGCATGTAAGTAAAACGCTTTGTCAACGAACCTTTGTCTACACTCTACCGAATCTATAAGGCTAAGTTATACATTTATACTTTTAAAGAACTGTCTCTAAATTGGCCACTTTTGTTTCACAGGGGGGAAAAAACACCCTGATCTATAACGTGCTGAATTTGTACTGCTCACTTCCACTTTTGCCCCCTGTTGCCTGAGTTTTCTGAAAAGTCCCAGTGTGGTCTGCGTCATTTACTCATAATGTTTGTAACCTCAGCTCATGCTGAGTGACTGGTGTGTTTACAGTCTCCTAAGGCTTGTACAAAGAGTTCCACACAACATCTGAGAACTCCTGAAATAAAAGAGTAAACAAATATTTGGAGTACATTACCATTATTTTAGTTGCTTACACAGTATTCCATCCTGTTTCTTTGCAGTAGCTTAGGGGATTCTTGTTGAAAAATTATTGCAAATGGTAACATATAGGCTAAAAGTGTATTTCTCTGCCTTAAAGCATGTGAGAACGCATTTAAATGTTTTTGACATATATGTTGATTACCCCTTCAGTTTACCATTTAAACATTTTTCAAAAATCTGGACTTATTTTTAATTCTTTTATCATATGCTTCCTATTAAGAAATTAAGTATAATTCAGAGTTTGGACATGTAAATTTGGAGAGGGTATATATGTTTCCAATATCTGCCATGCCTAATTCTCAATGTAATTATCCCACTGAAGTTTCATAGCCAGAAACTTCAGCAAGAAAACTGCATCCAAATATTAAATGATTGATTCATTTCGAATGTCCATAAATACAATCCAGGCAGTTCTCAGTATAATGCCACTGAGTGATGAAGTGATAACTGTAGCCCCAAGGCCATATGCATTTTCTCATAATACTGTCTCCAGACTGCTACTTTTAACTCAGAGAGATTGAAATAAAGTAATAAGAACTAAGGATCTAAAACTGATTTTAATTAATTAAATTAAAAACAAATGATATTTTGTTTAGGTTCTACCCATTTTCTGCAGCATATCTTGGCTCAACCATTCAAGTGCTAATTGGTGTCCTTGACCTGAAAATATGTGCAAAGCTACTGTAAGGCACGTCTGTGCATTATTAAAGGATTTAGGAATTAAAACACAATCTATTATCTGTGAAGAGCAGCTAACTGAAGGCAAAATAAACCTCCTCCTTGATGCTTCCCACCAAGGATTGCATAACAAGGATATTTCTCATATAAAATGTTCTATTGATCTATGTTCAGCTTGGCGAGTCACAGGTTGCATATACTTTACATAAGCTGGCATGCTTGTTGTGTCTCGCTAAGATCACTGATATCAAAGGAAACATTATTGTGTTTAAGCACTTTTTGAGCCTATCCAACAGATAATTATAATATTTTCCCAGCCAACTAAGCTACTTCTTATCTTAGCAACTGTAATTAAGTATTTGCAGTAGTTTCATGGCTGTCAGTTCCCTCAGTAGGTCCCAGTGTTCATTCTGAACAGGGTCAATGATAAGAGATTAAACTTACATGTGACAAAATAGCAATCGCTTGTTACTTGATTCCTGTGTATTCAAGATTCTGTTTTGACTTTGGTGGAAAATAGGAATTAGGACCAGAAAGTTGGAAGAAAGGATTAATTCTCAGGTCCCAATATATTGTGGCTTTTACCATATGAACACACTGAACATAGACACACTCAATATGAAATTTAATTTCACATTTCCTATATAGTCTAGCTTGGCCAAAAACGTTTTGATACAATTGTTTAGGATTACAAAGAGGTACAAAACAACCATTCCTATTGTTCGTATGTTACAATATTATCGATTTCTTCCTGGCCTATTAAGAACGTCTTCATTTCAACAGCTTCACTTTTCTATTTATACCTCCAATATAAAACCATACAATCCCACTTAAAGAATATCAATCAGGAGAAGCATGGAGAGGAAGAAAGGCTTGAGAGAAAAGGGTTATATATTTCAAATAATTTCTAGTCAGGAAGTGGAGCTGAAGAATCTTTTTTTTGTATAGTCTGCACTGTTAGAGTTGAAATCTTCAGGCTACTCTGACTTTTTGAGATATCTGAACTTGAAAATCCACAAAAACGGGCTGCAGCCAGAGTATTAATTGTACTTCTCAGTCAGATCTTGTTTTCAGATGTTTAAGTGTTATAAACAACACACTCTTCAACTGATTCTTAACAGGAGATAGAAAACCATCTTGACAAGGACACTGAAGGTTATGATGTTGTGTTAGATGCCATCGATACAATGCAGAGAGTGGCATGGCATATCAATGATATGAAGAGGAAGCATGAACATGCCGTTAGATTACAGGTGAGTCAAAATGCATCCTTCATCAACTATGTTCTGTCATTTGTTTGGGTTTGTTCATATGCTTTGGACAAATGTTTGACATATTGAAAAGATTATTGTTTTCAGTATTTAGAACATCAAAATGCCCACTTGCTGAACCATTTCCAAAATAATATTTAACATGAATTTGATTTATTCATACAAGCTTCTTCAAAGCTGGAATGAGAGTTGTATAGAAATGTTTGCTTCAACAATAGACTGTAGAAGATATCTCCTCGAAGAGAACCCAAAGTTTAATTATTCCTATTTTGTGCACTACTTTGGGGATCTTGGTAATTACAGGTGGTCCTCAGTTAATGACAATACTTGGGACCAGAATTTTTGTCACTAAGCAATACAGCCATTAAAGACAACATGTGTACAAAATAAGTATCAGACCAAAAAATATCAAATAGCTTATGAACTTTTTTATTTGTATAAGCGCTATATAAGTGATATTAGAAGTATTATGTTTAAGAAATAGGATTTTATATATGGGGGGTTAAGAATTTTTTTTTTAGGGGGTGTTAGTTTAATGATTGGTTATGCAATTTAGTTTATTGTTAAAGGTCAATAGAAATACCTTGTGTTCTGCTCTGGGAAGTCGGGGAGGGGGAGGAGGAGTTGGGAGGGAGGGTTGTGGGGAAATTGTGTTTGTTTTAAAACTTTTTCAATAAAAAAAAAAAGACAACATGTGATTGTGCCACTTAGAGGTGGCACTTAGAGGCTACCACCTCTAAGTCCAGCAAGGATTGTGCAGGTTGTTAAAAGAGGACTTCACATAAGTGCAGCTTTTGATTTCCTGCCAGCTTCCCCATTGATCATGTGGCTGTGGGAAAGCTGTGCCAGCCAGAATTTTGCAAACTGGCCTTAACTACCTCTGAACTATTGCTAAACAAGGATTAAATCAGAACAAACTGTAATGGTTTAGATTAGAAAATAATTATCTTAAGACATTCTAGCACAGTCTGTTTTTAATATGCTGCATCCTGCCCTCTCTTTCAGGAAATACAAAGCTTACTTACGAACTGGAAAGGCCCAGACCTGGCGAGCTATGGAGAGCTGGTGCTAGAAGGAACCTTCCGCATCCAGAGGGCCAAAAATGAACGCACGTTGTTTCTCTTTGATAAGCTGCTGCTTATTACAAAGAAGAGAGAGGAGACATTTACTTACAAAGCTCATATCTTGGTATGGCAGGTTGCACTTTGGGGGAAGATTAAGGGAGTAATGAGTGTGTATCCTACAAGGGAGCGAAGTGGGATAAAATAGAATAGAATTTTTATTGGCCAAGGAGTTTGTCTTGGTGCATACACTCTCAGTGTACATAAAATAAAAGATACGTTCATCAAGAATCATAAGGTACAATACTTAATGATAGTCATAGGTTACAAATAAGCAATCAGGAAACAATATCAATATTTCGCTAATCCTTATTGTTTCTTTAATAGAGCTGCTGGGTTTTTCCTCTTTTCTGTAAGTTGTCAGCAGAGATGGAAAAATAAAAGTTCCCTATAGTGTATATGTTGAAACAATTTAAATGCAACAATAAATAAAAATAATTGACCTTATTTATTTATTTATTTTTAAAAAACCATTCTGGCATATGTATAAGGATTGTATAAGGATAAGGATTGATGAAGAATGGGATCTATTGTTTAGTCAGTCCTTCAGCTTTTAAAAATCATTTGCTGCTTCCTTTCCCCCTTTCCTGTTTCTGACTTCATCCTTTTAATTCTGTGCTTTTCCTTTATTGCTTCTTTTTTTTTTTCTGAACCTTTCGCAGGATAACTCTGTACAAGTAGCTGTTATCAAAACCCTCCACAGTTGCTCTGCTTATCAGTTTTCTTTGCTTTTAATGGTTTGTTTCTTACCTTTCCCTAGCCTCTCTTTTTTTTTGCCACTCGGCCAACTTGGTACATGTCTAAACATTCCACAATATAATTAACATTTTTTTTAAAAAAAGAAAGAGTATATCAGATTTTTCTTTCTGCATCTCTTGGAATTGATGGTTTCTGTTTTTGTTATAGTGTGGCAATCTTATGCTGGTAGAAGTCATACCGAAAGAACCTCTTAGCTTCAGCGTCTTCCATTATAAAAATCCCAAGATGCAGCATACCGTTCAGGTAATTTAAAATCACCATAGACTGAATATATCAATAAATAATTAAATATTAATTAAACATAATATTAAATCTGAATTTCTCATAATTACATATTCCATGAAGCAGCACTATAAATACATTCAAAGATTTAATTCTTATCTTTATACCTGCACGTAGTTCCTATTCCTTATTATGTAGATTTTTTTTTCTCTTTTCTCTTTCTTTTGGTGAGAAATATGTGATTCTACTTTAATGTATAAAGTTTAGGTTTTATAATAAAAGGCAAGGTAGAAATAAAGTTTCCCAGCAATAATATGGAAAGATGGTATGTCATTGCCTTCTTTCTGCGTAAATTTCCCTATCTAGTTTGCAATCCTGAGACTGTTTGGCAATCTCTCATCCAATTTACTAAGTAGAGCCCATCCTGTACAACTTTCTGACATCAGCACTGATTGGTTACAGGCTGCCACTTAGTTGAATCCATTTTTATCAAAGAGAAAAATATAGATGTATTTTCAAGCTAGCATTGTGCCTAAAATTGTCTGTGAGAGGTGGTGATCTGTGTGTAACTTTGCTTTAGTTTTGACAAACAAGAAAATTCTAATCGTTTTTGGAAAAAGAGCCAGCATTTCAATTTGAAGTCAGATCTTCTCCACATTCCGATAATGTTTACTGATTTTTTCCTTCTGGTATTTCAAAAGCTATAATTTTTTTTAACTGTCTTTGTCCTTTTGAAATAGGCAAAATCACAGCAAGATAAGCGCCTTTGGATTCTTCATTTGAAGAGATTAATTCTAGAAAACCATCCTGCTAAAATTCCAGCTAAGGTAAAAACCTTTTTATCATTTTTTAAAAAAAGCAAGCATTTTACTTTTCTCTTGATGAAACATCTGTGCAGCCGTGTCATTACATATAGTACGGGATTTCATAGCATCAATTTAATATTCCTTTGGATCAGGCCAGTTTTGCCTTTGAAAATATTATTCCATTACTTTATTATGGTAATCGATCTTCTGCCTTATTTTTAATGAACAAAATATGTTATTAAAATATTTACAGAGAACAGGACAGGGAGAGAATGGAGACCATGATTCCTGGAATTCTTTTCAACCTCTTTACCACTTGTTATCACAGCAGGCATCTGAAATAGTGAAGGAGAGATAGTGGATCTGTGTTACATTGGTGTGTATTTGAATGCATTGGGAAGAAAAGGGTGGGCTACCTGTATTTTGCTCTGTGTCATGTGACTGGCAGGGAGGTTGACTTAGAAAGAAGCACTTGGCTACTTTTTTGAGCAGCTGCCTAAGTCTCTCTCCCTCCACCCAATGCATTGGGGAACATTTTTTGCATTTTTGTTGTTGTTGTTGACAGTCTAATCTGGGCTATTTTCAAATTCACTGGCTTCGCCGGCCACCCCAGATTTGGTCCCATTCTCTGCTAACAGATAGTCTCCAGACCCTCTTAACATTTATTTATTATTATTTTATTTTATTAGATTTCTATACCGCCCTACTCCTGAAGGACTCAGGGCGGTGCACAGCCAAACAATAAAAACACGTACAATACAAAATTTAAAAAATAGAATAAAATCAAATTAAATAATTTTGGCCCCGACAAATTTAAAACCCCAAACTTTTAAAACCAATTTAAAATTGAATATATAAAATACTAAAATATATTTAAAATTTTAAAAATCTTTTATAAAAGAGGGGGAAAATTAGGCCAGGCCGGCCTGGTGAAATAGTAAGGTCTTTAAGGTGCGGCGGAAGGTGCGCAGATCCTGGATCCTCCGTATCTCTGGGGGGAGCTCGTTCCAGATAGTAGGTGCCCCCACAGAGAAGGCTCTCCCCCTGGGGGCCGCCAGTCGGCATTGTTTGGCTGACGGCACCCGGAGGAGCCCCTCTCTATGGGAGCGTACCGGCCGGTGGGAGGCTATTGGTGGTAGTAGGCGGTCCCGCAGGTACCCGGGTCCTAAGCCATGGAGCGCTTTAAAGGTGGTAACCAGAACCTTGAAGCGCACCCGGAAGACCACCGGGAGCCAGTGCAGCTCACGCAGGAGGGGTGTTACATGGGAACGCCATGTCGCTCCCATTACCCATAAAAATTAACATAATTTCTTTCCAAGGATCTATTGAGATGGAAAGAATAAAAATGAAGTAGGTATTAATTCATCTAGCTCAGTATTTTGTACTAACATATATGGTCTCTTTGCTGTTTCAATTGGGAGTGTTTCCCTGTCATATTCAGAGGTGTCTATATTTATCTACTGTTCTGCAAGCCAGTAGTGGTCTTCCAAGGATCATCCTTTCATTACCAATCTATTCTTGCAATTCTGGAAGAAATGCAGACTGTTTTTCACTCACTAAACATACTGCAAAGTGAATTCAGTTTGAATAGTACTGTAGAGTTATTCTGTACCGAACCAGTTTTCCTGTAAAACTACCCAAAACTTTAACAAATTAACAGATTAACAGAGTTGGAAGGGACCTTGCAGGTCATCTAGTCCAACCCCCTGCCCAAGCAGGAGACCCTACATCTGCCTCTAACTAGGATCGAACTCACAACCATGGGAAGCTTTCTGTCTCCAGAAGAGGAAAATCTACTCTTTTTAAAACCAATTTGTATTCTATTCTTCTATCTTTCATTTGGCTTTGACTTCTGTTTACTTCACTGCCGCTATTTCAGCCAAGCAATACTGAGACATAAGAAGCAGCATTTTCACTCAAGAGGTCTGGCTCTAGGCCTGTAATACTTAAATAGTCCTAGAGTCTTTAGTTTGGCAATATGTACATCGAACAATCCTTGGAAGCTTGTCCATGTCAAATTATTTATTTTTTTAGTATTTTTATCTTGCTTTTCTGTAATGGAAAAATGCTTCCTGGTAACGAACAAGAAAAATAAGTTTTTACTATGCCAAGTGGAAGGTGTACAGGTCTTGGAAGGATCTATTCCAGGAAATAAATCCTATTCCAGGATTTAAAGTGATTTAAGTATAAATTCTACATTGCATACAATAAAATCTGCAATGACTGAGTTGTCCAAAATCTGGGGAGGAAAAGGGATGTGTTTCTATTTCTTATCAGTTTCCAATACACACACACACACACACACACCTATCTATCTTTTGGAGTAACCCAAGGGGTGGGCTGCTGGGGGTTCGCAAGGGTTCTGGAGAACCTCTAACTAAGATTCTGTGTACTTCGGAGAACCCCAAATCCTACTCCTGGCTGGCCCCACCCCACCCCTCCCAGGAGTCCCCACATGGCCATTTTGGATGCAGATAACTGCATGGTGCGCGCAGAGGCTCAGAGAGGTCAAAAAACGGGCCTACCAGAAGTGTGGGAAGGCATCTGGAGCCTGGGGAGGCTGTTTTTGCCCTCCCAGAGGCTCAAGGAAAGCCTCCAGAGCCCGGGGAAGGCAAAAACATCCCCCCTCGCCATGGTGTAGGAGGCCGACTAGGCCATGCCCACCATAGCCATGCCCCTCAGCAACTGGGCAGAAATTTGCTAAAATTTTTGAAGTCCACACCTGAGTAACCCTGTCTTCATTATTAAATTTTTAAATTAATCCTTTTTTAAGGATGGAAGAAAAGGATGTTGATAAATTCTTAACTGAACCAGGATCTGATTCCATTTCTTTTCCCTGAAAATCATTTTTTCATTTTTTGAATTGATCCGCATATTGATTAAACAACCTTGGATATAATTACAACTTTTCCATATCAGAGGCCCTTCTGCTTGTTTAAAAAGGGGCATCTGCTTTTTTGCTGATGTTTTTCACACAGATTTGATGCAGCCTATTACAATGTATCTTAAACATTCCAAATGTTATTCTAATCCTCAACTTCTTTTCAGAAGGAATGATAATATTAGATAGGTGCTGGTACAAGCTGCCTATTTGAATTTCATGAGCAGGAGTCAGAATTGAATCAGTGCAGAATGTTTATTTGTGCACTTCAAATATACTGTATTAACACAGATGCTGTCACATTTGTTCTCTGACAAATGGCATTTCCTAGGGCACAATGAGGAAGCACTGAATAGCAGTAGCAATAGCACTTAAACTTATATACCGCTTCACAGTGCTTTATAGCCTTCTCTAAGCAGTTTACAGAATCAGCATATTGCCCTCAACAACCTGGGTCCTCATTTTACTGACCTCAGAAGGATTGAAGGCCAACTAACCCTAACCCTAATCCTAAGTGCTCAGAATCGAACTCTTGGAGTGAGCAGAAGGCCCTGCATTCTAACCACTGCACTACCACGGCTCTGAAACAATAGAGAGAAATTAAAAATGATGCCAAAACATTTATATATTAGAAAAATGAATTCATAATGAACTATAATTGTGTTTATGCTGTACAATTGTAACACTTGGCTAAATGGCAGCAATGGTCTATGTAGAAAACAACTATGGTGTGAGAAACTGTATTTTTAAAAATGTATTTTACTTATTAATATGTCAAATTTAAAACTAAGTATAAATTTAATAAATAAAAATAAATAAATTGCTCAGCTTCTCCAGATAATACTAGACTGTAACTTCTATCATTTCTGACTACCCTGTTTCCCCCAAAATAAGACATCCCCTGATAATAAGCCCAATCGGGCTTTTGAGTGCATGGCAATAATGCCAAGCGCTTATTTCAGGGTTCAAAAAAATATAAGACAGGGTCTTATTTTCGGGGAAACACGGTATCCACTAGTTTGTTGGTTGTGAGATGACTTTGAGTTTTACAGTATTTAGAGGACCACCCATACCTGGTATATACCATCATTTTCATAAACCAAATGTTAGCGTATAATTTTTGAGTGAGATAACATTTTGTAGAGAAAATAATAAAAGGTTTTTATGAAGTTACTGTAGTGATAGACTGGTATTTACATCTGAGGTTGTACACTTGCTACACCTAGTGGACAATAACTGAAGTACTCCTTTAATCTTGCAGATTTATTGGTATACAATCTTGCCATGAAAAAACAATGTAGGATGCATTTTCCCCATCAACATGTGTTTTTTAAAAAATACACAGAGAGAGAGAGGATAAAGCAAAATGCAGGTTTCTTTGTTTGGGTTTGGCATGTTATATGACTCCATTTATCAGTCAACTATAGTAAATCCTGTTGTAGGATTAAAAATAAAGTTAATGGAGAAAATTTGTTCAGATAGCATGGTAACATAAATATGAGATTTCGAGTCTTTTTTTAAGTCTTATTTTATTGAAAAGACAGTGCCATGTCAGGATAACAATGCAAATAAAGCAAAACCAGAGAAAGATCAATGATAAATCTTAACATACATGCTAATAACTATAACTGTACTATGTTAGCAGTAATTGCAACAATACAACCAAAAAAAAAAAGGAAATAAAAGAAAACTTCAGCTAAGTTTCTACTTACATTAGCTTATTTACAATTTTTTCCTTATTATATCCATAGTTTTATACATCTTTGTTGTACTGACATTCATAAACTTCCCTCTCATTTCTACCTCTTGTCTCTATCCATTCATAAAATTTATTCCATGCCCTGTAATATTTTGAGTCTTCTTTATCTTTAATTTTTAAAGTTAATCCGTCCATTTCTGAACAATCCCAAATTTTCTTAATTTTGTCATCATCGGGTGGGGTGTTCACATTTTTCCAATATTTAGCATATGTAATTCCAGCTGCCGTCAATATATGTAACACTAAGTAGATGGTTAGTAGATTTGTCATAAGTTTCTGAGTAAATTTCGAGTCCTGATCCTAGTTAAGAATGTTTATATACATTCGTGCATGAAGAAGCAGTTGCAGGAAAACCATTGGGTGAGAGAGAAATTCTTCATACTTTTTAATCTGCTGATCCTTGACAGCAATGCCTTTCTAGGTCGTTCTTTATATTTTTTTTACTATAAAATCAGAAATCACAGACTGGTTGGAAAATAGTCATGAATGAAGCGTTTGGGATGTGGGGAAGGGGCAAAAAGGAATTGCATGACTTGTGTCTAAAAGTATCACTCTAAACTACATATTAGTTTGTTGAACACTATGTTGGGGCATACATATTTGTCAAGATTAATCTATGGCTTATCAGAGAATCAGAAATTTATATGATGATTATATTTTGCTTTTCCTCCTAGGCCAAAATGCAATGTGATCTAATCAATCTTAAAGTTATCACATTACTTTAAGTGTCATAACTGGGTAGGGATTTAAACTGGATCTTCATAATCCCTTTCCAATCCTGTGATAATTCAATTTTTGCTAATTGATCATTCAATTCAACTCAATATTTCCACCACAATTTCAAATTTTGTTAGCAGCCTTGAAAGCCTTCAAGAGCAGGGTAAGTACGGTATAAATCAAATAAATAATTAATATCCAATATTTGTTTTTCAGGCCAAGCAAGCAATTCTTGAAATGGATGCAATTTGTAAGTATACCTTGTTTAAATAATTAAACTGCATTGCTATTCTTAAAGATGGGAAATAAATATTGAGAGATGAAGCTATTCAATCAACATAGTTGATGCTAGTTGTCATTAGGTTTCTGGGGGCTGGGTAAGGTCTGTTGAATAATTATGTGAGACTCATGTACGTCTCCCTTAAAATGTTGCTATTATGCAAACTCACAAATGATAACTGGCTCACTCTGTTTCCAGACAATGTGACTTTTGTAGGTGTCCTGTAGGACTGCAGATCAAATTGTTTAGCTGCCCATGTAGGATAATAAAACTCCCACAAGCATCCTTAATCTGCAGTATAAGTGTTACAATGTTGTTATGTGAAGATATTTTATATGAACTTCTGTTAGAAAAACCATTTCAAAAGCCTGCTGAGATATTTTCTTTTTAACTCCCTCTTATATACAATAAAAGGTTCTTGGTGGATGGGTGTATATTATCTGTCTGTGTCTGTACCTATGGAGAGCTGTTATCGTGCAGCAATTTTTTTGCAGGGAATATAGTTCAGAGACATTGTGCTTCCTGAGCAATAAGGACAGGTTACGGCTACCCTTAACCCAATGTATTTTTCCCTATTTATGTGAGTGGGATTAAATTTACTGAAGACCCTTTTAAATAATATTTTTTTTGTATTCTTGTATTGATGTGTCCATGATCTATTTTCCACTTTGTTGCATAATACTGGGGGTTTGTGTCAGTGGTGGATTCCTCCCAGTTCTGCCAAGCCGGTAGCAGTGACAATATGATGTCACCCAACCGGTTCTGCCCCCCCGCCCCCCGTTATTCTTACCTTTTATTTGGCCCCACCCCCAATCGATTGAGTCCCAGCTGCCTCCTGAGTCCCAGCTGATGGGCTATAAGGAAAAAAAAACTGTTTAAACTCTTGCCGCAGGGCTTCAAAGGGCCGCCCTACAGCTGATCAGTGGTAAAAGGCAGTTTGGTGGTAGACCGGTGCCTCCAAAAACAAATGAGTAGACCGGTGCCTGCAAAAATAAATGGGTAGAGCAGTGCCTTCAAAAATAAATAGGTAGATCGGTACAGCTCTGCAAGCAGTTAAAAGCCTGGTAGACCAGTACCTCTGCTAAATCCTAAATAATTATCACATGACCATCAAGCCACGCCCACAAAATAAGCCACGCCCACAGAACCAGTAGTAAAAAATTTAGAACCCACCCCTGGTTTGTGTGTGTGTGTGTGTGTGTGTGTGTATGTAGAAAGAGTTGTGCCATGATATGGCTTGTTTGCATCCAGTAGCATGTCAGATGATCAAAAATATTATGTGGTACTGTTGTTTTATGTTCAGTTCATTTTTTTACTATAACCTGCCAATCATCTGTAAGGCTACATGTGAATGCCTTCAGGATACCTACTTTACCAAGAGCTGTGAAACTTGCCTAAAATGATTGGGTCATCTCTGGAGAATTATTATTATTATTATTATTATAAGAAAGAAAATTAAAGGGCTTTCTTGAAAGGGACAAATAAATCCTATTCTGATGTGTTGTGATCTCTGCTTTTAGTTGCATATATCTATATAAATTTCAGCTTGAATCCTATTTCCTGATTTTACTTCATTGTGGCAGATCATACAGAAGTGTAGTTGTAGCTCAACCTTATACATAAAGCATTACTTTCAAAATCAAAGAGTCTTTTTTCTTTTTTAATAGATCACCCGGGGTTCCATTACAGCCCAGAAGAAATGAAAGCTTCAAATAACTCTAAAGAGGGCATTACTCCACAAAGGATGAGAAGGAAATCAGGTAATAAATTTTGTTTTAGGTGTGCTTATATTTACAATTAGAATGGAATTAAGAGGAAACAGCTTCAAATTTCATATGAATAAAACACAGATTTAGGACTGAAAATAAAAGCAATATGAAAGTTGTAATGTGAACCACAGAAGGAATGAACTTTAAAGAATTCATATATGCATACTGGTCATATTATGGTAAAAAAGATACTTTAACTTCACAATTTAGCAGTAGCTTGCCATTACACTCAGTAGTGGGACTGAATAGCCACATGAGATTGCACTGCAAATAACTTCTTTGTTTCTCTCACAAATCCACACTTCATTTTGTTAAATAATCTACATCTGTGATATTTTTATGTGCAGACATATAAAGTATAAAACAGATACCCTTGTAACATACTCATCTTTATAAAATATGAAATATGATACATTTATCATTTCTGGTTGGATTTACTAGTCTCCAAAAAATTGTTGCTTTTCCTGGTGGAAGAAATGAAGGTGAGATAGATTGAAATAAATGGATCCTTGCCCTGTGCCCTACATAAATGCTGATTATACCAAATAAAACAAGCCACCTTTTCCACATACAACTACAGAGGCCTCAAACCCACCTCTGTTTGTATCCATGCAGTAATTGCTTTGTCTAGCCCAGGGGTCAGCAACCCGCAGCTTTGGAGCCGCATGTGGCTCTTTTATCCTTCTGCTGCGGCTCCCTGTTGCTGGTCCCCTCCACAATTGATAGGGCTTTCAGTTAGGACAGGCAGAGGAAAAAGGATGCCACACTAGGAGGACACTATGATGAGAGAACCAAACTTCCGGTCGGCTCCAGAATTGAATGGGGGTTTTGGCTACCTTAGTCACTTAGCAACTTCCCTCTTGGGGTGCAGCTGAGATGGAACAGCACTTGCACGCATCTAGTATCATCTGAGATACTAGAAGGGCTTTGAAGCTCATGGCTTCACGTTGCCATCACATGATGTATCGTGACATTTTCTCCTTGGCGGAGCTGGGGTGGGCGTCACCTGCATGTGATGCATCCAACCCACAGTTTGACACCCCTGTTCTAGGAAGATAGAATATCTACAGGCCAAATGTTCTCTATCCTATGATATTTCTTTTAAAGACCAAGGATTAAGTCCCAAGTTATCATTAACACTGCTTGTCAATCTTGTGCTAATAAACCTCACATTTTGAAAGCATGGTAAGTTTCTGAAAGACATTGAAATATATAGTGTTTAATTCTTTATCTATCTAACTGAAGGAGCCCATTGTTTAATAAGTCCTTTAAATTTCCAACCATAAAGATTCCTTCCTTTGTGCAGGGATTTCTTCCTGAAATAGATTTCCTGATTTTCCAGGTAGAGTTATATAGGAAATCTGTTGAAGTAGTTTGGTTTCAGCAGCCACATCAAGATCTAGGAATTTTATTCCCAGGAACCTTTGTAATTTCAGCTTGGTAGTAATAAAAGCTGAATGTAGCTGAGTATAAGAGGCATATAAAATTAAATAATAATACATAATAACATTTTAAAAAATAAAAATATTAATAAATATATGTTGTTTTCCACACAGAACCTTCTTCCAGAGTTCATAAAATCACAAAATCAAGTGGTAAGTTGCATAATATCAAAATACAAGATATACTTTAGTTACAATGTGTATTTAAGCATGGCACATTTCACTGTAATTATTCATGTAATTAACTGTACAAAATGCATTTATATAGGATGTAACATCAAGTGTTAATAAAAATGGTGCTATAGATGGCATCCACTCACCAATCCTTACAAATGTGGCTGAACAAAAGACACCCATTTGTGGTAGATTTACCCATGTGGACTAAAAGCTTCATTTACACTGCTTCAGGCTGCCATATGAGACTGCACTCCACTGTAATAAAATTCTGTTGTTGTTGCTGCTTTAACTGGCTCATACTGCTATTTTAAAAAATGGGGCTGCTTTAAAGAGTTGCAGGCTGGTTTTGCATTGGTGTTCCCACACTGCATAGCCCTGAATTGCGTTATTTCCTCCTCTAAATGAAAACAAGAAAACACAGAGACATACATGCCTTATTAAGAGGAAGATTTCTCACTGCTTGCTTTATTTACCTTTTATCTTAACCCCTTTAACTCTATTGGGCATTAAAGTCACTACTGTACTACCTATTAGCTGTTTCTGAAGCACTTTTTTCTGCAATGAATCAATTCTATCCAATTAACTAAGCAGCTGAGTAGTTTTTCCACAAGGAAGAAATATTTTCTAAAATATCCTTCCCATCCTACACCAAAAGCAGTCTTAAATTTCTTTTGATTCCCCCTGGATAAAGCAGTATACTAAAAGTTAGTATAAATGCAAGTCACCATATGATACTTACGTTTGTTTTTCAATCATTTCAGAAATGGACCCAAATTTGCAAAAGGTAAACTATATTGTTTATTCAAGGAACTGGCAGTTTAAAAAAACAACCAAATCTAGAATATTACTATACATATATTTAATGAATATATTAATATATTTAATGAATATATATTTAATGACATTGAAAGCATATCTATCATCTATCTATTTGCAGGTAGTCCTCAACTTACAACGACAACTAAGCCCAAAATTTCTCTTGCTAAGTGAGACATTTGTTAAGTGAATTTTGCCCCATTTACAGTCTTTCTTACCACGGTTGTTAAATGAATCACTGTAGTTGTTAGTAACATGGTTGTTAAGTAAATCTGGTTTCCCCATTGACTTTGTCAGTGGGTAGCAAAAGGTGATCACATGACCCTGGACACTGCAACCATCATAAATTGAGCCAGTTGCCAAGCATTTGAATTTTGATCACGTGACCACGGGGATGTTGCAACGGTCGTAAGTGTGAAAAACTGTCATAAGTCACTTTTTTCAGTGCCGTTGTAATTTTGAACAGTCACTAAACTGTTGTAAGTCAAGGACTATCTCTGTCTGTCTGTCTGTCTGTCTATGCTCTTCAATTAAAAATTTCTATCTGGTAGCTTTATCCTTTTTTCCTGTTTTGAAGTACATTGAAACAAACAACGTTTTAATATACATGTTTTAATGACCATGTTGCAAAAAAAGGGAGAACAGGAACAGGAGCAAACAAATGTTAAAACGAAGGGGATTATTGTCTGCAAAAACAGCAGAGGGCATACCATAGAAATCAAGAGGAGTTATAATACGAATCTTCCAAGCTAAAATAAAAACTGCATGAGAATATATGAGAAATGATAAAAAACCTATGCATATGCATGCCCTGCAGAGCACACCACAATATACAAGACATATTTTTAAAGCAGGATTGGAGGATTTCAAAGGCCACTCCAGTCCTTGAGCAATATGCTGAGGGTCAGATGTGAACATCAAGGACCACAGCAGGCAGAATATTGAGTCATTCTTTTAAAAATCATTTGAAAAATAAAGATAAGGAAAATCGCTTTAAAAAGAACATGCTTTTTAATAGCAAAGTAACATGAAGATGAAGAGTATTGTGGGCTGCTCTGGATACTCTGCTGTATAAAAGGTGTACTGCATAGTACAGAATATGGAATACTTAAATCTGTATTTTTCCTCCCTCTACCCCTAGCGGATGAGTACTGAAGGAGCCCTGCTATCTCAGGCTGAGTTGTTCCTCAGTCCCAGGAAGAATCATTCACTGAATTGCCAACGGCTAGATTCAAATGAAGCAGCCTATAGCAGTGGTCAGGAGTACAATATTCTCACAGATGTTACAGATCAGACCGATGCTGATGATGAAGAAGAGACCGAACAAGTAAGAGCCTTATTTCATGAAATGGAGAGAGAACACATTGATCCATTAACATTCAATATCATATGTAGAATAACTTCATGAACCATACTAAGATGAATAAACAATGGGGTATCCTTCCTTTAGCTTTCAGCAACCCAAATCAATTAACAGAGGTGGTTAACATTTTCACATCTGCATCCTAACTATTGGGGGAATACAATAGGAATTTCTGAGATCTTCGACCACTGTTGAATTCTGTCCTCTGCCAAAGATTAGTTCATGGAGCTTAGCAATAGAGGGAGGAATTCTCTCAAAAGAATTTCCTTCCAATCCTCAATAGTAATACTGAGCTAACAGAAAGAAATTTGGTAATGTGCTGAGAGAATGATTACATGAAAGAATAAAACAAATACAAAAGGGAAGACTGAATCAGGGAAAAAGACTGAGAAACATCACATATAAAAAAGTGAGATGCAGAAAGTATAGTTGAAGATGTAATTTCCTCTCCTTGTTGATCCCCCTTCATCCTATCAACATTCATGAATTTCACTGTTAGCATATATTTGTATGTTACCAACATTTTAACATAATGACAACAGTTCCAAAGAAATCTTGTTTGAATTTACTCCATGAGACCAATCATAGATGTCAGTGTAGATAGCTGAATCATACAAAAAGAGTCTTCCATGGTATCAGTTGAAATATAGCATCTACTTGTTGAACTCAGAAAATTACTAGGCTTTACTTTGGCTGAAATTAGACATATAGTTTAATATTCACCCATTTCCACAGAGCACTCAACATTTTCAGCAAAAACCAAAGGGAGGCCGCAAAAGATTGAATAGTCAAGTTACTGAAAATTTTGAGAAACGAAGAACTTTTAATTTCAACATATGTGAAATTCAGGTAATTGAAAAAGTTGTGAAATCATCATGGCAGCACCTAACCAAGACTGGTTGAGCTAAAACAACCACAGTAAATATGATTGGATTAACTGTTTAATATTTGGATGGGAGTTTACCAGAGAACATCAGAAATGTAGCTTAGAATTGCAAGTTGAAATCATATCCAAGGTAAGAGAGTGCTAAGCCATGTCTGTAATGATATTAAGAAATTTACATGGACATGGATATGAAACCATTCAAATTCCAATAATTTCCTTAAAAAAATATCATGGAAAACTGATTTTTTTCATGTGTTGAGAGATGCAAATGAAGTAAAAAAAGGGGAAAAAATCAGAGGCTGCAACACAATAATCAATAAAAACAAAAAGTTATATGGGATCATTTAATACAGTTTGCGCATCCTTTTATCTATATTATGCCCTTATCTGTAACTTATCCCTGGGAAGGAAAAAATGTTGATAATCAATAGGTTCTACTTAATGGTTATTAAAACAAGCTTACATCAAAATATGAGTCAGGATGAAGTAGCATTATAAGATTCTCTTCCAACTCTGTGGACATGTCATCAACTTTCCAAATTTTGAGTCTCAAAAGGCACAAGGTGCTTATAGAAAAATACCATTTTATGTGTACAGACAAACATAAAGATTTGCAAGCAAGCAAGAACTCTCCAGTATCCTGGTTTCTTGCATGTTATTTAGTCATGGTTTTCATAATAGAATGAACAAGAGTATACGTCTTAAACCTTAGAATACAGCAGAACTACCAGTGCCTCCTTCCTATGCAATTTAAGGAAGTGTCATTTTGGCTACACAAGAATCAGAAATTTTAGAACTTAAGTTCATGATTAGCATTGATGTGATTAGAATACTGTCTAATAATATTCTATATTTGAAAACTTCACAGAACTCCCAAAAATGTACAGATGAATCTCCTTCCCAGATGAACACAAAGCTTTCATTTTCCTGCAATGGGGATAGTCAGTTATCTGAACATTTTACTCCCCAAAACAACTCATTTGTGGCAAATATTTTGGGGAGAACAGCTGCAGTGAGAAATATCTGGACAGACCATCAGATTCGGCAAGCATTGTTCCCAAGTAGACGTCCTCTGCAAGACAATGTAGATGATGATGATGATGATTACCAAATGTTCATGCCATCAGACTCCACATCCAACTTAACTTCCATTGCATGTGAAGAAAGGATCCCATCAAACCGTCCTTGCAGTTGGCATGTAGGACTAGTTCATCAAAACGATATTTCCAACCTGAATTCTCATAGAATTATGAGGCGGGCCAGCAGCGCTGGTGAAAGTAAAACTGGAGCAAGATATAGAAAGAATTACCATGATCAAAGTGCCTCTTGGAATGAAATTAAAAACTCCAGAAGTGACATGGACAATCTTCAAGAATGTCAGGAATCTTCAGAAGAATTGACTATAGATGACATAGATCATGTCTATGACAATATAAGTTTCGAAGATTTGAAGTTAATGGGGCTAGCTCAGAGGGAAGAGTCCAACCGTGCTCCACAAGGGTCAGCTAAAGATTCACTCTATGAGACATATGACCAAGACTATTCTTTCAAAAAAATTCAATCATCTCAAAACAGGACTTGTATTCCTAGCAGAAATGAAGCCGTTCCTAGGAAAGAGGCTTCATCTGTAAGGTCTTATGAGTTAAGGATTAGTGAGGAAAATATCTATGATACCATAGGCCTCCCAGAAGAATCTGTGTCAAATTTCAAAAGTGATTACCTTAAATGTTCCAAAAAGAGAAGTTTTCTGGGTATGGAAACAGATTTTGCATGCTGTAACCAACTCCGACAATTTGTTTCTGAAGAAAGCCTCCAGTTCAGTGAAGATGAAAATCCCTATCATTATGTTCCATTAAATCGTGGCTGCTTAAGTTTTGCGGAGAGTTCCTCAAATTCTGATTCACACTCTCACAAGTCTGTTGCAGATAAATTATCAGAGGAAGTAGATGAAATCTGGAATGACCTGGAGAATTATATCAAGAAAAATGAAGAAAAGGCACGAGATCATGTCCTTGCGGCTTTTCCTGTCTGCAAAGATGAAGTTGATAATCAAGCATCTAGCAGAACTACTGGTGGACCAAATAAAGATATAAAATATTCATTGACTATGCTCCCACTACCGGAAAAAAGTGCTTTGTCAAAAACTTTGCCAAACAAGGTAGCTAGGTTAAGTGAAGCCAACATTAAGTTTGAAGAGGCAACATCATATAAAGCAAATTCACTAATAGATCTCAACAGATCTTCACTCTCAAATGACAGAGGTTTTGCTGATAGCCTTTATGAATCTCCCAATAATATATTCTGCAGTGTAAATACAATAAATACTAATGGCGAACACGATTCTGTGGATAAAACAAAGAATCGTGTTTTTATGATGGCAAGACAATACAGTCAAAAAATCAAAAAAGCAAACCAGTTTTTGAAAGTAAAAAATGCAGAGCAAGAGCAATTTCTGAGTCGGCAACAGAAATCAAAGCACAAGGACTTGGCGGCCATTTTAGAAGAGAAGAAACAAGGTGGACCTGCCATTGGTATGCTTATATTTTCCCTCATTTTTTAAACTGATCTGTTGAGTATTTGAACACAATGACTTATAGGTATACTTTACCCATCCATTGGTCAATATTTCTTTGAATTGACTGAAAAATTCCAATTAATATACTTACGCTAGCATTTCTGTCATTATGAGTACGATCTATTCCTCTGTTAATGCAGCTGAGGACTACGCTGGCTTTTTTGGCAGCTGCAGCACACTGTTGGCTTAAATATGAGCTACAGTTGCCAAAAAAGCCAACAGTCCTAAGCTGCATTAACAGAAAGATAGAATCAAGATCACGTGATGTGTTAATAGCACTTAATAATGCCTTGGTAAGACCACACTTGGAATACTGCATCCAGTTTGGGTCGCCACAATGTAAAAAAATTGTTAATATTCTAGAAAGAGTGCAGAGAAGAGCAACAAAGATGATTAGGGGACTGGAGATTAAAACATATAAAAAACAGTTCTGGAATTGGGTATGTCCAGTTTAATGAAAAGAAGGAATAGTTGAGGTGGAGAGACATGATAGCAGTGTTCCAATATTTCAGGGGCTGCCACAAAGAAAAAAGGATCAACTTATTTTCCAAAACACCAGAAGGCAGGACAAGAAGCAATGGATGAAAATTAATCAAGGAGAGAAGTAACCTAGAACTAAGGAGAAATTTCCTGACAGTTAGAATAATTAATCAGTGGAACAACTTGCCTCCAGAAGTTGTGAATGCTCCAGCACTGAAGGTTTTTTGAAGAGATTGGACAACCATTTTCTGAAATGGTATAGGGCTTCCTGCCAGAGCAGGGGGTTGGACTAGAAGACTTCTAAGGTCCCTTCCAACTCTGTTATTCTGATTTGAATTTTATAGTACTGGCAACTAATTGGCTTTTAAATTAAGCCACATGTCTGATTTAAATCAGAAAAGCAGTGAGTTGCTCAGTGCATTTAAGAACTTGCCTAGTATAAATTTTAAACAGTTGCATAACTTCATTTAATTAAAAAAATGTTGGAGGACAAAGGGTGGGGGCCTGCCAGATCACTAGAGAAGAGATTGCTCCACTGGGCAGGGATCACTGCAAAAAGGTGCATTTCCTAGATACCATCATATGATTTTTAGCATCGGGAGACAGAAAACCGCTTAGGATGTAGTTGCAGGAATAAGTATGTAGAAGAAATGATAGAAGAAACTGTGTAGCAGTAGTTGTCAGGCATGAACAACTGGACCCACACATGCACAGTTCAAGCTAACTACTTTAATTATGTTCTCTCTCTAATACAGGAATCTACCCAGTCTGGCAGCCTACTGCTAGTAACAATTAGATAAGGCTTCAATGAATTTAGGGCAGGTTGATCTTAGCCCTTTTGCAATTGTGCAGTGATTTCAGACTAGCTCCATGCTTGATCCCTCTTCCCATAATATGTCATCATAGATGTTACAGTCAGTTTGGTATAGTGGTTAAAAGCATCAGTCTAGAAATTGGGAACCATAACGTCTAATCCCATGTTAGGCATGAAACCAGCTGAATGGCCTTCCTCAGTCCTAGGAAGTAGGCAGTGGCAAATCACTTTTAAAAAAGGAAATCTTGCCTAGAAAACTTCATGGATTTAGTTCAAGCAATTGCCAGAAGTAAACACTGACTTGAAGACAACCAAAAATAAAATTAAGGGATACATATGTTATATAGATGGATTTCATTTAGGCTTCTGGTTGCATGAACTTCATGTACCCCAGTTAGCTCCAGAGACATCCTTCTTGAGAAGATGGAGGAGAAAGCATAGGAAATGGGAAAGATCTCTGTTTAAGATCAGATGTTCATCTATATTTGTTTTGCAGTAATGGCATGTTAAAATCTGTGACACTTGACTAAAAGTTTGTTTTAAAATATCCTTATTTATCAGGAAATGTTAACTTGTACTGGTAGTGGTGTCATTATTTATTAAGATTAGTTAAAACTTCCCTTTGTTTTTTAGGTGCAAGAATTGCTGAATATTCTCAACTATATGATCAAATTGTATTCCGGGAAACCTCACCCAAAACACAGAAGATTACTTCTCAAGAAACAAACATAAGATATTCTTCACCTGTGTCCACGTCTCACTTAGCTGCAGAATGCTTAAAAGCTGAAAATTGGCTTTTGCACTCAACATATAGTAATGGAGAACTTTCTGACTTTTCTCCTTGGCCAGAAACTCCTCACCTGAAGACAAAAAGCTCCCTTATAGAAATGGGGATGAAGCCAAATGTGAGACCTGTAACCTGCTCAGTGCCTTCCTTTCAGACTCCTCTTTGTCCACACATTCCTGCACAAAGGTGGAGTGCTATTATAAATCAGCCCAATAAAGAGAACTTGTATCACAGCCACCTTTATAATTCTTTAGGGAGGACAGAGAGCAATACAAAGCCACAGGCATATAGCAGATCACAGTCCTCTTGTTCCATTGTGCTCAACAAGTCTGAAGAATCAATAAATTATCCACCTGAAATGAGGAAAAAGAATTTGCATTCCAACAAAAAATGTCTGACTGATCACTGTCAAGAATCAGTGTCTGTTGCTACCCCTGGCCATTCAACATACGATGGGACAAAGCAGACTTTAGAAAATGTCTCAGATGTTATTCTACAAGATTCTCAGAAAATTTTGAGAGTTAAAAGGAATTTGCCCTCAAATGCACAAATAGCAACCCACAATTATTTTAGTAATTTCAAAGATACTGACAATGGAGAAGGAGATGATGATGATTATGTTGAAATTAAATCTGAAGATGAGGGATCTGATTTAGAAACTTTCTGTAACCAAACAAAGGACTTGGATCCCAAAGTGAATCCACACTCTACTCCTTTAGAAACTCACAGTGGCAAATTGCTGGATCCTTCTAACCCGTCAGATTCTTTCTTGACAACATGTGATGATTCCGACAAATTGAATGATTACTTATGGAGTGTGCCATCTAGTAATCAGCCAAATATTGTCCAATCCCTAAGGGAAAAATTTCAGTGTCTCAGTTCAAGTAGTTTTGCTTAATGTTGCCTTTCCCCCCAATTCCATTGTTCAGCCTTAATATGATAGTTACAGTATGATCACCAGTTCTTGTAAGTCATATTGTTGTGTATATATATATATATATATATATATTTCTAATTACCATTATAGGAACAATATCTTGCATTTGTGTCATTCTGTTCTATATAGTGTAATTTTAGCGACTTTAGTATTTATTAGAACTGGCCACATACACAAGAATTTCATAGAAACGGAAATGAGAAGAACAGTAGAACATTTTCAGTGGTTAAACTTTAGGTATTCGTAATTTATTTGCTTAAACACAGAAGAATGAACTGCTTTGGCTCAACCGAAATGTACTAATGTGTTATATGTATGTACTGGTTACGTTTCCACACAGTTCTAATTAAGTAAAACTGCAAATGGTACAGACCAAATGGATCTTTGGGATCAGGCAAGAACATTTTTCAGGAATTCTAGTTTAGAAAATCCCCCTTTTCCCCCAATGCACTAAATACATTATTTCTAACCCATCTCCAATCATGTTTCCAACTCACAGATTTGATACCCACAAATCAACAGCAGCTTAGGACCCACGTGCAAAGTCTTCAACTGGCTTTGGCATCAATTTGAAGGAGTCTGGGCACAAGTTCCAATCTCTGGCAACCAGTATGCCAGAGTATGTATGGATGCCCTTATCAGTCTTAACATCAATCATGCAAGTGGGTCTAGAGAAAAATTTAAAAGTAGACCGACCAACTAAATAGCTTCTTCAGGTTGGAATGGGGTTTTTCCCCTGCTTATGTTGCTGTACATACCCCTTTTGTAAGACGGCTTCAGTATGAAACTCTTTATAAAATAAGTGGATACATGATCTATACAATCAAATTTCACATGAAGGGACAGTAATGATCTAAGTACCAACTGAAATACCTTTTACTGAGAGGATTTGCTTTCTTACATCATTCCACCAAAAATCATAACAGCAGTCAGAATTTTTATGACGAGTGGTAACTTGGTGATTATCTCTATTAAAATACTGTAAGTACTGAAAGAGATATGGTCCCTGAATTACTTGGAAATGCATCATTCCGATATTTTTTCTTAGTAGAATGCTAGTTCACTTTTATTTTTCTTGCATCAGGAAGCTGCTCCTACTTCAGTAGAAAAACTGACTGCAAATCAAAGTGTGTTTAGTAAACAGGTGAAAAATAAGTTCATATGAATTTAGGGATTAATTTAATAAAATATGTAAAATAATATAAACATAGTAATAGGAATCCAGATACAGTAACAAGGTTGTGCCTGCTTTATTATACTGGAGGATTTTTGTTAATCTGAAAAAATAGTGAAATATGTAACATCGTCATATAAGGGACAAGCGTCAGTATATTTTGAGTACTTTTTAACCTTGCTGGCAGGGAATAAAAATAACTGAAATTCAGTATGGATGAGTACCTGAGACATTGTTTTTGTAAAAGCAAAGGGAATGATAATGATTTTATGGTCTGGATGAAAAAATGCTGAGGAATCCCACCTCAACTTTTTTATATAGTTCATGATTGTAGATAGCTATCCCAAAATTAGACAAAAGTATTTAATTTTTTGGGGGGGAAACTGCTTTATAAAATATGTACAGTAGCCAAAATAGAAGGGAAACCGTTGTTCATTTGTGTGAATATTATGTTTGCATTTGGTTAGTTGAATAACTCAGATCATCACACATTTTTCTGAAAATATTTTAAATAGATTTAGTTTCAGAAGGCTAACTGTTCAGATTTTCAGCCTGCTTCAAGGATATTTTTTTCTAAGCTCTTGTGTTTAAACAGAATCAAGTAGGTGCCGTTTCATCCACAGAATGTAAGTTAACCTTTGGGTGACTAGATAGGCCTACAAAGCCACTAAGTGCTTCTGGACACATTACTTCATTAATTATCATGGGCAGAACAAAAATATGGGGAAAGTAAAGAATGGTTGCTAAAATTAGAATATTGGGGCCAGAGAATATTTTATGTAAGAGGCTTGCTATCACATGTACTGTACATTCTTTGTTGTCCAATTCTAAAGGTGGGCATATCATCTCTTTCATAATTTACAGCTCTCCTTCAAAACTTTGAAGAGATTTTAGAGGAGCCTTATTTTTATCCAGGTAATATTGTTCATAAAAAGTGTCTAATTGTTTTTTTTTTAAATCTATTCTGTATTCACTGGTAGTACCTGCACTATACTACTGGACAAATGCAAAATGAAGTTGCTTATTCTGGATGAATTCACACCAATTTTCCTAGTTTCAACATATCACGTGTTACCGTTTTATTCTATTGATAAGAAATAGACCCTCTCTGTTGCACTTTTACATAACTCATTTTGTAAAGACTATGTAAAAATATATGTACATGTAGAAGAGTCCTTTTTCTCTTTTGTTATGCTTAAAAGCTGACTTTAAAGCATGTCAAATCTGTAAGTAAATGCTGCATAGAAAAAATAAATAAATACTACTTGCTTGCAGCAGTTACCTCAATAGACTTTTTAATGAAGTACTTTATTTAATTTCGCAGAAATAGTTGCAGAGGCTCTATTTTTTAAAGAAACAATATCTTTTAAAGCTTTACTGTACCAACCCTTCAGTAACCTAGTTCTGCAATTATTGTCTTTGCCTGTCCATGCAACAGCCATAGCAAGAATGTGGGATTTCTATACCCAGTAAACTAGTCAAAGTAGTGAAAGGCCTAGGCAAGATGAATATTTTTACTCAAAATAACCTTTCCTGCACTGCTAAGTCATATTCAAATCACTACAGCTAATTTGGAAAAAGCCCTGTCTAGACTACTAGGAGTGGAATCTAATTATGAAAAATTAAAATAACAGGCCAGGAGTAAAGTCTACAAAGCAAACCTACTATCAGTGTCTTTGGCCAGCTGCCAGAGCTTACTAGCAGCTACAAATACAACCAAATACAAAAAGGACAGCTGCCAAATTCTTTAACACAGTGGGGAAAAACATTTTTCAGTTTTTGTTTGACTGCTGATGCCAACAGCAATCATTGCCCATTGCTGGCTACTAATTGCTATTTTAAATTTTCCAGTGTTTCAGATCTGTGCTCCTCAAATATAGGTAGTCCTCGACTTAAAACAGTTTGTTTAGTGACTGAAGTTACGATGGCACTGAAAAAGTGTTTTTCACACTTATGACCATTGCAGCATCCCCATAGTCACTGAATCAAAATTCAGATGCTTGGCAACTGATTCATAGTTATGACGGTTGCAGTATCCCAAGATCATGTGAACACATTTTGCAAGGTTCTAACAAGCAAAGTCAATTGGGGAAGCCTGATCCACTTGTGTGATTCACTTAACCACTTGATTCATTTAATGACTGGTAATGTTCATAAAATCAGGACTGTGCAAATGATTACTCACTTAATGATCACTAGAATAGAGTAGAGTAGAGTAGAGTAGAGTAGAGTAGAATAGAATAGAATAGAATAGAATAGAATAGAATAGAATAGAATAGAATAGAATAGAATAGAATAGAATAGAATTCTTTATTGGCCAAGTGTGATTGGACACATAACAAATTTGTCTTGGTGCATATGCTCTCAATGTATATAAAAGATACATTCGTCAAGAATCATAAGGTGCAACACTTAATAGTCATAGGGTACAAATAAGCAATCAAATCATATTAGGAAACAATCAGTATAAATCGTAAGGATACCAGCAACAAGGTTACATCACTTAGCAAGCAACTGGTCCTAACTGGTAAGTCTAAGTGCATATAGTGCATAATTGACTGACAATTTCTGTCTAGCAACCCAACAATGGGGGTAGATACAAAAAAAAACCCCAAACCCCCATCCGAATTAGTTTTTTCAGTGGTAACTTACATCTACCTCTTAACAAAAGTATAAATTGCTCCAGCTTTTTCTGTTTTCTAATCTCCCAATCAACTGTGCCACATTGGAACTCATACTTTCCCTTTCAAATGATAATATGGCCATAGCAACACCAGGAGTGGATTCAACATGAAGGGCTTTATTTTTTAATTAATACTTTTTAAAATGTCTTTAAAGACTCAGTAGGATTTATCTCCAAATCTGTAACCTGAAAATTTTGAGACATTAACTAGTTTTCCCACAGGAAGACAAGTCCTCTGCTCAGTACCCAGAAACGCAACAGCTCCTGTCTCACGATGCGCCCAACGGCTCCGTTCTATTTGTCTATGGAGATTCTCAGACATCCAAGTTATTTATGGTTATCCCAAAGGTGCTTTTTCAAGAGGCAACTAAACTTTCTGGGGATTTTTTTAAAAAAACGTTTCGCTTCTCATCCAAGAAGCTTCTTCAGCTCTGAGTGGATTGTGGGGAATGGGAGGATTTATACTCCTTGCAGACAGCTGGTCATTTCCATTCTTTTAATGACCAGCAAATGACCAACTGTCTGCAAGGAGTATAAATCCTTTCATTCCCCACCATCCAGCCAGAACTGAAGAAGCTTCTTGGATGAGAAGGGAGACTTCTTCAAAAAAAACCAACAACAACCGAGAAAGTCCAGTTGCCTCTTTAAAAAAGCCGCTTTTGGACAACGCCGTTCTAGTTTGCAGCCTCGCCAGCGCCCTCGGTTACCTGCGAGGCCTTTTTATTTCTCGCCCCGCAACAGGGGAAGGAAGTGCAACCGCCACCCTTCGCCGAGCTTGGCTCCGCCTCGCCTCCAGCAGAGGCTGGAGCCAACCCAGCGCTGTCCGGCAGCCAGCACCCTACTCCGCCTCCCTTCCAGCCACACAGCGCGCGTCCTTCCCCAGAGCCCAGCTCCTCCTCCTCCTCCTCGCCGGGAAGCACCGGGCACCCGTCGGCCGTCTTCTTCCCCTCAGAAATGAGGTTTTCCGCCTTACGCCGCCTGCTCTGCAGATCAGCGGGGCCCGCCAAGAAAAGCGTCGGCGGCTTCCCTGGCAAAAGGCTGCGCCCCGTGCCGACCGCTTGCCCCGCGGCTCTCTCGCCCCAGCGAGGGATAAGCAGCACGCGGCGCTGCGGCGAGAAGCAACGAGGAACCAGCAGCGAAGGCGCCCAAAGCTCCGCGCTGAGGTAGGCGGCTGCCCCGTGTGTATATTGTGAGTGTATGTATGTATGTATGTATACTTGCATGCATGTATGCATGTATGTATGTGTGTAATATAAATAAAAAGAAGGTGCCGGCTCCAAATCCCACCACTCGTTCTTTCATAACTCATCATAATATACATAATATGTATGTATGTATGTATGTATGTATGTATGTATGTATGTATGTATATGTAGGCGGCTGCCCCGTGTGTATATTGTGAGTGTATGTATGTATGTATGTATGTATGTATGCTTGCATGCATGTATGTATGCATGTAATATAAATAAAAAGAAGAAGGTGCCGGCTGCCAAATCCCACCACTCGTTCTTTTAACTTACATAATATACATAATATGTATGTATGTATGTATGTATGTATGTATATGTAGGCGGCTGCCCCGTGTGTATATTGTGAGTGTATGTATGTATGTTTGTATGTATGTATGCTTGTATATGTAATATAAATAAAAAGAAGAAGGTGCCGGCTGCACCACTCGTTCTTTCATAACTCATACATAATATACATAATATGTATGTATGTATGTATGTATGTATGTATGTATGTATATGTAGGCGGCTGCCCCGTGTATATTGTGAGTGTATGTATGTATGTTTGTATGTATGTATGCTTGTATGCATGTAATATAAATAAAAAGAAGAAGGTGCCGGCTGCCAAATCCCACCACTCGTTCTTTCATAACTCATACATAATATACATAATATGTATGTATGTATGTATGTATGTATGTATGTATGTATGTATATGTAGGCGGCTGCCCCGTGTGTATATTGTGAGTGTATGTATGTATGTATGTATGCTTGCATGCATGTATGTAATATAAATAAAAAGAAGAAGGTGCCGGCTGCCAAATCCCACCACTCGTTCTTTCATAACTCATACATAATATACATAATATGTATGTATGTATGTATGTATGTATATGTAGGCGGCTGCCCGTGTGTATATTAGTGTATGTATGTATGTATGTATGCTTGCATGCATGTATGTAATATAAAATAAAAAGAAGAAGGTGCCGGCTGCCAAATCCCACCACTCGTTCTTTCATAACTAGAAAGTGGCCGGCCGGCACCGCACGTGGGAGACTTCTCAAACCCCGCCTTCGCGTTGTTGGGACTGATGCAATAAAGCCTCTTAAATTGGCGTGGAGGAGGAGGAGGAAGTGGCGGCTCTCAGAGCCAATCAGCCTGAAGGAAGGGAAAGGCGCGTTTTTTTTCCCCTGGGCCACGTGACTACCCTCTTTCCCTCCCCCCCTCCCGCCCCCCTACGCCGGCTTGTAGAGTGTGGAATGTTAGCGGACCGGGACTGAGTGGGAAGTTCAAAAGGTTTACCACGTGCGACGGCTCTCGAACCAGCTGTTTGCATCTGCGTTGGTGCGGTTGCGGTTGCAGCGATCTAGGACTTGTTCATCTTTAATTTCCTGTCCTTTTTCCCCCCCTTTAAAATCCGTGGCAATTATCGCTCGAGTTTCGCTTGTCCAATGGGTTTTACGACTTTCTTGAAAAGCTGGCGAAGAGAAATAGCGCATCTTGACTTTCCTTCGGCCTTTTAGATAATTCGTACACTCTGTGCTGGTCTTTGATAAATAAAGATTTGATTTAATTTGTATTATACTTGCCGAGTGGGGTTTACTGCCTTGCGGTTTTGAAGGGACCAGCCCTCTTGCCTGACAGCTTGGTAGATTTGGCTTTGTTTGCAGCTGTAAATCTGCAACGATATATGCCTTAATCTACAGACGGGTCCCTTTGAACTTTAAACGACTCACTTTGGATATAGTATCTATTGTATTGTATTGAATTGAACTGCACTGTAAGGCAGTTATGATTTGGGGAAGACCTACTTTTAGAAACCAAAGGTTTCTTGTCAGGCAACATCAAAAAATATGGAACATCAAAGCTACATGATATAGAAACTAGCAACAATAAATAGGGAAGGTTTTTTACAGTTTTGTAGTTTATCTTGCTAATTTTTTTAAAAAAATATTTTCTTCAAACTAAACATCACTCTCTTACCTACTAAAAGTTGACCTAGATTAAGGTGCCTGACAAACAGCGCAGTCCAACAAATTACAAAGGGCAAATACAAATGAATAGATAAACTTTTATGGATTATTAGTTTATGAAGTTGTCTGATGATGCAATTTGAGGCTTATTGTGGGTGGTGATGTTATGCTCAGTCAATATATAATGGTTGAAAATAATATTAATACATTTATTATTATTTCAAGAGAAATCATTGAAACCTCAAGAAAAGCCCTGCATTTACTGAAGCAAGAACACCCTAAATTTAAGCCAACACTTTCTGTTATACAGGTAAGGCAAAAATAAACCCTGCAGGATTTGACTTTCAAACGTGGGCTGTGTTTTGTGGAAGAAAGGAATATTATGGAGTCATAATATTCATATGACTACAACCGCTGATAAAATCGAAATCTATAAATATACAGTGGCATTGAAATCTGTGTGATAACCGGAAAGTAGAGATAGGTTTTGTAAATGTTTCTGTTGCATGTTGAACAGATAGCTGATAAGAATAATATATTCTTACATTTCCTTAATAGGTGGATGTAATATATTGCAATCAAATTTCAGATGATCTTAAATTTCTATAATCCTTAATAAGAATCACATGGTTTTGGATCTGGTGATATCCCTTCTTTTGTAGCCCTCCTAAAAAAACAGGACTGGATTTTGGATGCTGCTTTAGAATATAACTCAGTATGGAGTACCAGACAAGTTGATAGGGGGAGTTAATACAAATGCTCCCTTGGGTTTATGCCAGTGGCAGGCAGTCTGTTGCCCGTCATTGTTTACGTAGTTTTAAGAGTTGTAAGAATTGAAATCCAACACATCTTTATGGAGTCAGGTGTGAAAAGCTGCACTACACTACAATTTCTTATTGTGCTATACTGTTTCATCTTCTGCTTAGGAAACCACCATGCATGCATGCCATATTTGTTGCAACGAATCTGCCCTTATACCTAGGAGAGTCAAAATGCTAGACTATTCCTGTACAGGCTCCTAGTCTTTTCATTTTTTTGTTGTTGTTTTGTTTTTTCTGTGTATCTGAAAATCATGCTATTATGTTTCCATTTCTATCTGTTTTGCTTCTGTACTACTGCAAGTATATGAAAGGGTCAGACTTTGCTAAAGTAATTTCAAAAATTTGGAAAGCAATTCCATATCATGGATGTTGTGAAAAATGTTTGATAATCCTCCCTAAATTTGCTTCTTATATGGTAGCCGTGAAATACAAGCATTTTCTATTCAGTTCAGTTAATCATATACTCAATTTCAAATCTGTTATTTCCTGCCATTTTTACTTCAGTTATGACTTGCAGACCATTGCTTTTCCAGAATATTTTATTTAGCCTATTACAATTTTATTCCTTTTCTATTTTTATTCAAGGTTGGCGATGATTTGGGACAAGAAATTATCAGAAACGTTGCTAAAGAGGTAAATATATGAAAAAAAAAATCCCCACTAAAAAAAAAAAAGTATTGAAAGATGGTTGAATTTATTTGAAATCCATTTTTTCCTTTTAGATTGGCGTGGATATTGTTCATATTTGTCTTCCCCATGACAGTACTGAAAATGAGGTAAACATTTTTAAAATTCTACTTATTTCCATATTCTGTATTGTTGGATTAAATCTTTGATATCTTGGAAAACACTGGATACCATCCATTAATACAGGGGTGTTAAACTTGCGGTCCATGGGCTGGATGCATTACGTGCTGGCCATCCCTACCCCCATTTTAGTGAAGGGGAAAAAGTCATGATATGTCACATGATGACAACGTGATGCCACGAGTTTGACACCCCTGCATTAATATAATCTTAGAAATAATTATCTCAATCCTATGCAAGTTTGCTCTAGTTTCTGAAAAGCTACGGGATTCAATTTAGTGAGTAAAGTAGTATTACTTGCATATGTATATTATAATTGCAATTGCTTAGTTCATAAACACATTCAGTCCAAATAAAATCTCACTGAGATATTTAAATATGACATCTTTAGTTCTATCCAAATAAAAACTAGTACGGTTGTTTATTTATATCTGCATTGCTATCAGAAGGTATTTTACCAATCAGAATCCAATAGCTGTTGAATGTAAAATGTCCAAATAATCAAATAAAAAAGTTTTCAACTCAGTACTATTTGGGGAATTATTTTCAGGATTATCATTGCAGTGATCTCATGCTCCATTTTATGTAATTTATATGTACTGGTTTTACAATGGCATGACTACAAAATGAGCAACAACAAAAACTGTCAGTGTGGCATAAATTTAAAGACTCCTTTGTGCAAAAAGAAACATTTCTATGCACAAATAGTTATTTTTCTTAAGTGTAGCTTTTCAAGTGATATCAAAAGCTACAACTGAAAAGATAAGCTTTTCTCTATTAGATAGGGAAATTATCTGATCCAAGTTTATAACCAAACAATAGATCAACAGGATTTCAAAAAGAAGTTAAAGCTATGGTACTATATCCAGTAATCTGGGAATAAACCATAAAATGTAGTGGGACTTGCTTTTGTGTAGACATACATACACAATTTTATATATTTTAACAAAAATGTAGATTTATGAAAAGACATATATTATCGAGAATTGAATGTGAACCATAGTTAACATATATGAAGAGCTAAATTAATACCAAGCACAGAGTTTACCAAAAGTGTTTCCTGCAGGATTTCACAAAAAAATCTTGATTACTAATATTGTAGCATTTTCCCTTAAGGTTATGCTATGATTTCTGCCAGCACAGGATTATTTTCATGTTTCAATCCCACAGATTAAACTAGACATAAACTATTAAATGCGTCTGAAGCTTAATTATGGTACATGTTCTGGCAAGTTTATCTAGAAAACTTTATCAAAGTTTTCAGATCTGGCAAGTTGGCACAGTGCAATGAAAATATAAGCTCTCTTTTGAGGTAAACTTTATTTCTGGTGCCCACATGGACATACCCACAATGGTAATCTAGAAGTGGCTTATTGGTACCTTCTTCTTTCAGAGTGCTTTCATCGAATTACTATGCTATTCTTTCACAATGGCTTGCTGTCAGCCTTACCAGATAGATCAGAAAGGAAACATAAGCAGATGACCTAACACTATTTTATTGTAATGCTAACAGAATCGTACAAGTCTGAAACTTGAAATCTCTAACCATCTCTTTTTACAGCCTGATATGTTAGGGAGAATCCTTTCTATGTTTGTTTCACTCTCCCTTATGTAGCTGTGGGCTCATCCTCCTTATCTGATTGTTCCCTAAGCAACTCTTCCTCCCCTCCTCCCCACATACCATTACACTTGCCATATTCAACCTATTAGCTTTTTATCAGGCTTTGCCAAGGTCGTCTGAATGCTTTCATTTGCTTTGTAGGTTAGCTCAAATGTATTTGTGCCTATTTGTTTATAGTTCTCCAAGATAACTTTATCCCCCTGCATTCTGTTCTGAGAAGCTGAAAAATAAAAGAAAGTTTAAAAAATATGGAGAATATTGGTTATTAATAATGTCAAGTCTTAATGATTTTTAATTGCCCCCCAATATTGGAGACAAAGAGCCAGTTGGGTGTAGTGTTTAAGGCAGGAGCCTAGAAAGCAGGCTAGAGATTGTAAATTCTAGTCCTGCTTTAGGCACAAAGCCAGCTGGGTGACCTTGGGCCAGTTCCACACACTCAATCCTAGGAAGCAGGCAGTGGGAGGCCACTTCTGAAACACCTCAGCAGGAAAACTGCAGGGACGTGTCCAGACAATCATGAGGAATCGTAAACTTTCTCAGGGTGCATTTATGAGTTTGTGTGCGCACACACATGCTAACAAGTACTAAAGATGGTGTGCCTGAATGCCATGGGAATGTGCAAGCTGCCGGAGGACATGAGTAAGAGAACACAACTGTGGTGTGTTTTGCCATGTGGATTTCCCAGGCTGATGTTTATGGGAAGAAAATATTGATATACACTTTTACATATAACTCCTCTTCCATTTTGTGGATACTGAGTCCTTAAAAAACAGACAGCTACTTTCTTCGTGTTCTTATAATATCCTCCCTTACCATACTCCACTAGAGAATATTTAGGGAAGTACAGTGGGCTGTACGAGTAAGGGGAAAAAAGGAGTATTATATTATTTTTGCAGAAGTCTACTATTGTGGTCTGCAAGTTTGTTCATGACCTTTGGATTTTCCAGTGAAACATGTTGTCCAGATGTACAATATTCATTCACTTATCTGATGTGTTGGACTTTTTCCATGCTGAAATTATGACTTTATCTTTGTTGCCTTCTTTTTACTGAATAGAACAAATGTTCCTGACAGTAATGGTGCAACTTTGCTATGACTGTTCTTTCTGTTGACTGTCTGAACTTGTGAATTGCTGCAGATTCAAGCTTTGTACTGATATCTGACTCTCACACACCTCCTTAATTTGCTTGCATGTAACCTCATTCTCATTCGGTTCCTTTATCACGGAGCACCATTCCTCAGTTGGACACTGGAATGATGTAGTTCATGTAACTGCTATAAATGACATAAGCACAATAGGGCCATAATTGATTTTTTTTTTTCACAAACGATCATAATTGTGAGTGTATTTTTGCAAATGAAAGAGCAATTTGCCATTAGGCAGCTTCTTCATATTTTAAACTTCCAATAACTATATACGATAACATTTTTTATTGGTAACAGGGATCTTTTAAAATTTGGCTTTGTTAACCTTGTATATTACCTTTTAGGTTATAGGTGAAATTATAAAACTCAACGAGGATCCTAGAATTCATGGCCTCCTCCTCCGCCTTTGTAGAGAATCATACACAAGCAAAATATTGAATGCTGTGAAACCAGAGAAAGATGTGAATGGGTAAGTTAAACTTCGTAAATTTCGCTGATCAGACCTGGATTTTACATCTTAAAAAAAGTGCAAGCATATGGGTTTCATGCTTCCTCAGATCAGATGAGTAAGAAAAATAAGCTAGTAGTTTTCCGAAATTAAATATAAAGCTATTCTGTAAATCATGTTGGTTAGAATACGACCTTAGCATTCTGCAAACCCACAAAAGAGAGTGCTCAAAGATATCAGATGTTGTTTTTAAGGCCCTTCTTAAAGTCTTTTATCCTATTCCAAGATGCTGAAGTGCATCTGTACCAGGGGTGAAATGCTCCTGGTTCGGACCGGATCACCTGATCCGGTAACGATCGTGGCGGGTGGTTCGGAGAAGCAGTAGCAATCACATCGCAAGGCTCAATCCACTCACCCGGTTGTCGTTACTTCCTGATTTTAACCAGGAAGTAATGTGTTTTGTACCCTCTGTGCATGAGAAGGTTTTGCTTTTTTGCTTTTAAAAGTAAAAAAAAAAAAGGCTCTGAGGATCACAGCTATGCCTCGCGATCGTTAGAGCCTTTTTTTATCTTTTAAAAGCATTTTTTAACAACTTATTCGGCCGAATAGGTTGTAAAAAAATGCTTTTAAAAGTAAAAAAAAAAAAAAGATCATGCACCACAGCTGATCACACACACACACACACACACACACACACACACACACACACACACCGTGCGCTGTTCTACTTATCCCATGCCTCCTTTTGGCATGCAGTGCACGCACACACCTCGTATTTGGTGTGTGCTGCGCATGCGCAGTGCACATTTGGCACGCGGTGCGCATGTGAAGCCAATGAACAGGTAGTAAACCGGTTCAGATTTCACCACTGATCTGTACTGCTAAACTGTATGAGCAATGACAAAAGCCAATTACTTAAACAATAAAATCAAGTCAGATATATCTAATATACAAACAAATAACAGATTTTTCTCAGCCATATCTAGATGTTTTAGGGATATTCTTCATTTCCATCTCCTTGGGGCCAAGCAAAACAGATGTGAAAGCTTAGGTAGCATTGTGACAAAGGGATTAAGAGCTTCGCAGCTGCCTTTAAAAGTTATAGGCCTTGGCTCCTCCTGAAGAACACTGGGAATAACTTGCCTATCCAGTGATTTACAGAAGTGAATTTAGACCATGGGGGTCTCACTAGGCTTTGAGTAGCATATAAACTGCTGTCCTTAAAAAGTAGACTGGGCTGGAGCTTGTGGGGAGGGGAGTAGTTTTAAGAGGCAGAAATTGGAACCTAGAAAAGCCAAAATACTGGTTTGGGAACCCAGAGGCTACAACAAAGGAGTTAGTGGTTGATTGCAGGTGTTGGGGTGCAGTTTTTAGTTTCCAGGTTTTAGGCCTGATTTGTCACTCCTACTTTTCTCCTCCAAATTGTATTCAGACTAATTGTTATTGGAGCCACGGGTGGGAGGGACAGGGAGAATGAAGAGCAGAAGACACAAATGAGATACCTTTAGATATTGAAATGATTCACTGAGAGAATTTTTTTTAAAACATCAGCAGATCAAGGGTGAGCAATCTAAGACTTCATGGTTAAGGAGTACGTGAGGCCCAAGATGGGCAGAGCTGGACTAAGTTCTTAGGATCCACATACTAATCAAAAAGATGAGCTTGTTACTGAAGCCTTTGCATTGTCCTTATATCATTTATTTATTTATTTATTTATTTATTTATTGGTTCGATTTATATGCCGCCCTTCTCCGGAGACTCAGGGCGGCTTACAATGCGTTAAGCAATAGCCTTCATACTTTTGTATATACCTGCTTTGTAGGACTTTCGCCCCCCCCTAAGCGGTGTTCTTTTTTATACAAAGTCAGCTTATTGCCCCCACAAACCGGGTCCTCGTTTTACCTACCTCGGAAGGATGGAAGGCTGAGTCAACCTTGAGCCTGGTGAGATTTGAACTCGCAGTAATTGCAGGCAGCTGGCAGCTAAGTGCTACTTAACAGCACTTTAGTCCACTGCATCACCAAGACTCCTAAAAAAAATCATGATTTTTCTTTTTTAAAAAAAAAAAAACCCAAAGCTTTTGCTTGCATTTTCTTACATAAATTGCTGAGGACTGTCACATTCTCTTATTTTTGTTACAGAATAACAGATTTTAATTTGGCAAGATTAGTACATGGAGACCTACATGAATGCGTGGTTCCCCCTACTGCCAGTGCAGTGATCAAACTTCTGGAAAAGCAAGGTACAACACAGTAGTAAATTATGTTTATTATCTCAGATCACTGTTCTTAGCTTGTCTTGACTCATGTTTGACCTCCCTGGTTGAAATATAACTTCTCAATGACACCTTGTCTAAATAATCGGCCAACCTTGCAAATTCGTTTTTCAGCTAGAATCAGTATTATTTATTAAAGTAAATGGGGCAAATCTAATGTCCTACTGATTGCAGTGCTCATTTGCAATGGTTTCTGCTAGGCCACTTATTTGTATCTGAATTGCTAATGGGCATAAAATGTTGATGCTACTCAGAGAAAAAGGAAGAGAAAGCTGTTGCTTCTTACCTTCCCTTTACAGTACTGAAAAAAAGCAGAAAAAAATCCAGGAAAAAAGCATATGAAAAGAAGAAATAAATTGCCCAATCCTTCTTCTTTCCTTATTGGTTTGCCTGTGAGCTTCCCACTGTTTCCTGCACAACCTCCACTCCACAATAAATTGTGGGTTGTGAGTTTATTCATGATCATTGAAATAATCACCGACAAGAAGATATGATATTTAGGCGTATGCATGTCTCAAACGTGATCTGAAGAAGCTGTTTGCTGTTTCTTAATGTCATCCAGCATTTTTCAGATTTCCACGGGAGTCTGAAAAGTAGGTGCCATTTGTTAAAGTTAATGGGACTAACGAATAGCAGGAAAGTGTTTCATGCATAAATATGTACAAGATTTTTCTGCTTATTTACTTCAGCATGATAGAGTTGTTCATGAACGTCTGAGCCAGCTGTGAGTTTACAAATAATAGGCCATTAAAATTTGGCAGAGGATTAAGAGTGTCTGATTATATTTTTGACTTTTAATATACTGTGAGGATATTTAGCATTTCATATTTGAAGCTGAAAAGATACTTTGGAGAGGATATAGATGTATGTACAGGTTTTCACCAAGTGACAGCTACTGAAAAAAGCTGCATGTTTTTCTGGGCTCATGAAGTAGCTGTGCAATCCCAAGGAAATACAGGTTTGAATTAAGGAGAGTAGCATTTCCATATACTCTAAAAGCATCTTATTGAACTTTGCTGGCACTTAGCTCAAAGTCCTATTTTAGCCATGTTGGTTTTAAAGCACTTTTTCAAGTACTGCAGCTCTCTAACGTTAAAGATGCAGATTCATGCTTGGATGATGCTAGAGTGAGGAAGGAAGAACCAAACTTCTGAATGCCCTGCACCTCAAAGTGAGTTGTATGTGTTTGTGTGTAGAGTAGAACAGAGGTCCTCAACCTTTACGGCTTGCCGGCCTGGTGGGGGGAGTGGAAAGAGGAACTTGGCCATACACGCAAGTTGAACTGCACACACATGTGCATGCACGTCAGCCTGTTGCTCATGCAAATTGAACTGTGTACGTGCATGCCAACCTACCACTCATGGGGCCTGGTTCTGAATAGGCCACAGCTCAGTAGTGGGCCGGGGGTTGGGGACCCCTGGAGTAGGTGAATGAATGAAAGAGAGGACATTATAGGGTATGAAAGGGTGTGATATAGAATGACCTCTATTTAAATTAGTAGGACTTCTGAGACTTTAATAGAGGGTATAGAAGTAAGAAATTGCAATTGTAAATTTTAAAAAATAGAATACCACGTGTACCTGTTTGGCACTGGATGCAATTAAGGTGACTAAACAAGCATTAAAATATGTATTATTTTTAATTGAACATATTATTATAATTTTATTTCACCTTATATTTTTATTTCACCTTTTGTTTCACAAGGAGGTGAATTTGTGTAATGCTTCTTCCTTCTATTTTTCCCATTATAACAACCCTGTGAGGTGGGGCTGGATTGAGAGAGAGTGACTGGTCCAAAGTCACCCTGCCAGCTTTTATGCCTAAGGAAGGCCTAGAACTCACAGTCCCCTGGTTTCTTGGCCAGCACTTTAAATTACTATGCCAAACTGGATTAATGTTGTCATTAATATTTCTGCTAATATTTCACCAAAACCACATTTTTTCATATACATGCATAAAAAACTACTTTTAGTCTCTCAGTCTGTCAAACTTAATCAGTGTGCTCTGTGTCACACTGATTTTGATCATAGAAAAAAAAATTCCTAAACTATAGTGCAGGTCTATCCTATTTTTTTTTAATAGGATTGTTTTTTCACACAAGAGATCAGTTTAGGAACACTAAGCTCCCATTTTAATATGCTTTGTTTCATTTTGTTTCTCTAGTAATTTGCTGTATTGTAGATAATGAGAATAATTCTTATCTTTTGCTTTCAGCATGTACTACCCTAGATGGGAAAAAATTACTACTTTTGGATGTCCAAGGACCTTTGGAAGTTTCCTTGCAGTGTCTTCTTCAAAGAAAAGGGGTCATGACTATGAGCTTGTCATGGAACATGAAGCAACTCCAGACAATGGTAAATATATCAAGGGTATAATATTTTTCTTTCTAGTTTGTTTTCTACCTATATTGTCATTATTATGGATCATTCAGAATTTTGAATATGTCACAAAAGCGTTTGTTACTTCAGAAAACATGGCGTAAAAAATAAAGTTTACATTACTTCATCTCTAGATTTACTAGCTGGGTCCACATTTCACTATGTCCTAGTTTTTAACCATTTTTAACCAGTTCCATTTGGTTGAGTGCACATATTGCCGTAAAGGCATCAATTATGGATTGCAAAATTCACTGCACTGTACTGCTCTATCTTTCTTCTATTCGTGCTTTCTTTACTTAGTGTTCAAGACAACATGTGAAAAATCAAACGCATATTTGATTGCATACATTCTGTTAGCACTAGAAAGTAAAACTGCTATATAAAAAAGGGCTTTAATATCCAGCTATTAAATTATTGTGTACAATAAATGTAGCATCTTCTTTCTTGGGTGTGGCATTTTCAAATTGAGAGCGAGGCCAGGCTGCTGTTTTTGCTCTCATTCTAGTTAGGAAGGCAAGTGGGGTGCATATAAGTTATCAAAAAAAGCCTCTTATATTAAAGTACATGGTGTGTTTTTTTAATCCTGTCAGTAATGGAACCAATCTAAAATCATTGATGCTAGACATTCCCAGCTTCTCACACTTTTTAGAGATGTCCCGAACTCTATAATCTATAAAAATTAATTTAACTGCTCCATAAAAAGCTTTATATTGCAGTTTACATCCACATCCATGATGCTATTGGACAAAGCAATGTTATGCAAAACACAGAAAAGGAAAAAGTAGCATTTCAATGGAACTAAGGCATAAGGAAAAAAGGAATCACGACAAAAGCATTCTTTCTTCCATGATATCCATGCATTGCTTGATAGATTGCCTTTTGTTCCATCAGTTCCCATTTCTCTTTTTAAGGAACTCATCAGCTCCAATTAAATATAACTTTCTTAATTTTCCTCTTGATCTCATTGTATATATTTCAATTTTGTTTTTGTTTTGTAATTAGGTCCTGATTCATTGTCTTTATAAGATCAAAAACCCTTCAGTGTGCTTTGTTTATGCTGGTCGGTGACTTTTGTATTCAGTCCACATTCATTCTTGATTTTCTCTCTTTTTCTAAACACACCTGCCTCTTTAAATAACCCACTTTCATTTCACATACCAAAAGGGGAAGAAACTCACTCTTGCACACAGGACATTTAGTTCAAATACCACTAGCATTCAATCGGGGCACATGCCACTAGCTTTCAATAGACATCCACACATGCTGCATTAAACCTTCTCTAATCCCACATCATTAGTGGATATTCTACCAAAGTATACTAATTCATATATGTACTCTATTTTCCAACCGTTTATATATATCTTGCTATATACAGGCAGTTCTCCTTTAGCAACCACAACTGGGACTGGCAACTTCATCACTAATAAAGCAGCTGCTAAATGGGAAATCACGTGACCAAAACTCGGGTTTCCTTTTCCTCATTCCCAGCTCATCCCTTGGGCACTGTGGTAACCATCTTAAACTGACAAGATTAATCAGTTTCACGCCTGCCTGAATAATGAACAAGAAGGGAATTCATCTTTCTATTTACATTCATTGGAGAGGAAAGGATTACAAGAGAGTAAGTAGGCCCACAATGGAGAATATGCATCACGAGCAATACTTTGGGTCTAGCAGCCATGAACACACTATGTAAACAGCCTGGTGTATTCCTCATTGTGAGCATCCCTGTCTTCCTCTCTATTCCATGTTGAGCCGTTCACAAAGCATTTCTTTTATTCCCCTACATGCCTTTCTTCTTTCATAAACTGCTCATCTTGACACTCAGCAAACAACCTTCAACTCCATATTTACACATACGTCTTCACATGCTTTTTCTAAATCAACAAAAAAAAAGTTTATTTCTCTTATTCATACATTTCTCTTACTCTTAACCTTTTGAGGGAGTCCAAACAAGACACGTGACAATGAATACTGATTCTGTCTTTATTGTAAAGTTAGAATTGTAAGAATCTTGAAGTTGAAAGTATCTCTCCCATCCCTCGTTTTTACTCTCCCAAAACAAGGGACAGTACTTTCTGAGATGCTTTTTCAACTCCTCATTCTGACTCAAGTTTTCATTTTTGAGATCAGGGTCTGATTACTATTACAATATACAATTCTTTATTGGCCAAGTGTGATTGGACACACAAGGAATCTGTCTTTGGTGCATATGCTCTCAGTGTACATAAAAAAACAAGATACATTCGTTAAGAATCATAAAGTACAACACTTAATGATAGTCATAGGGTACAAATAAGCAATCAAATCATACTAGAAAACAATATAAATCGTAAGGATACAGCAACAAGTTACAGTCATAGAGTCATAAGTGGGAGGAGATGGGTGATAGGAATGATGACAAGACTAATAGTAATGCAGACTTAGTGATGCAGATTTATCGTTACTGAGGAGCAAAATCTGATCTGTTCCCTACTTGGTATAAGCTGCATTGTACTTGCCAGTTTTTGTTCATTGTCATACTCTATCAATCAAATATGTTGGAACACCTTCCCTGAGACACCAAATGAATCCCCTTGTTTTGATGATGATATTGATTTTTAATTCATTGGCAACAAGAGCAAAGGAAATGTCAGTGCTGATGAAGTCAAGGAAAGCTTTGTCATCATTGGCTTTTTTTAATGTTTTGGCTCCAGCAATTGATTTGAGGATACAGACTGCAAATTCTGGCATACTGTAATGCAAAATAAGCATTGCAATTTCTCTGGCTCAGTCAGAATCCAGCTTCCAGTATTCCACAGATTTCCAGAAGGTGGCAGCCAAGTCAAATAAGGTGGCTGATCTTTTTCTGTTTGGAGTTCATAATTGAAACTATAAAATATGTTTTCCCTAAACTGAACAGCTGTGATGCTAAGATATGTCTCCATTGGAAAGATTCTGTTTTTACAGCTGTTGATGTTACCATATCATTTTGTTCATGAAAATTCGGAAAGGCATAATTGTCCCCAATGTCTAAACAGCCTCCTTAAATTTTAAAATTCTGGCAACTGTCCTAACTTGTTTAGTCTTCATGGTATAACATTGTACTTAGTTATTTATTTTGATAATTGTGCAATTATAATAAAATGATAATTTTAATTTTATTACAGTAATATACAATTGGGGGAGGGAAGAAAAAATTCCTGAAATACAAAACAGTTTGTGTAAGAAATTTCCCAAAGTGAAGAAACTAAAATGGAAAACAAAACAAAAACAAATATATGTTCCTACATGTAAGATGGTCCTCAACTTACAACCACAATTAAGCCTAAAATTTCCTTTGCTAAATAAGTAGCTGTTAAATCAGTTTCATCCCATTTTACTACCTCTCTTGCCACAGTTGTTAAGTGAATCACTGAAGTTGTTAAGTTAGTAACATGGTTCTTAAATTTGGCTTTTCCCTTGATTTTGCTTGTCCGAAGGTCGCAAAAGGTGCCTGGGACACTGCAACCATCATAAATAGGAGTCAGTTGTCAAATGTCTGAATTTTGAACACATGACCATGGGGATCTTGCAACAGTTGTAAGTGTAAAAAATGATTGTGTTACTTTTTGCAGTACTGTTGTAATTTCAAGCAGTCACTAAGCAAATGGTTGTAAATTGAGGAATACCTGTATATACATAGACATCTTAATAAGTATTTAATGGTGATTCAATTAATACAAATTAAATTTTGCTCATGACCGGTGTTTCCACTGTGTTGATAAAGAGTCAGTTTAAAAGCTGAAAGTAAAAAATATCTGCAATCCAGGATTTTAAATCTAGTAAAGAAAAACTATCTTCTTGGCTCTGGTCCAAACTTGAGAAATTCAAATTCTTTATAAAAGATATATTGATAAGCTTTTTGCTTTGCAAAATCGTACCAATAGTAGTTTTAATATCAGCCCAAAATGAGAGTAATGCAAAACAAGTCTAAATTATATCTGATAAAATGTGAATAGCATTTTTATGAGACATGTGTTTGAATGTAGCAGAGTGGGGTTTTTTGCTTCCCACAGTAGGCTTCTGACCCTGGGAGAAGGGAGGAAAAAAAATCCAGGGATTTTGATAAAAACATGATGCTAAAGAAACTGCAGGTAATTGTTACTGGGTTTAACTACTCCTGCTTGCACTGGGCACTAAGTAAGAGTGACCTGTAGTTGGCATACCTTCCTGTAATGGTCTTTTATATTATACAGTGGGGCAAAAAAGTATTTAGTCAGCCACCAATTGTGCAAGTTCTCCCACTTAAAAAGATGAGAGAGGCCTGTAATTGTCATCCTAGGTAGACCTCAACTATGAGAGACAAAATGAGAAAACAAATCCAGACCATCACATTGTCTGATTTGGAAAGAATTTATTTGCAAATTATGGTGGAAAATAAGTATTTGGTCAATATCAAAAGTTCATCTCAATACTTTGTTATATATCCTTTGTTGGCAATGACAGAGGTCAAACGTTTTCTGTAAGTCTTCATAAGGTTGGCACACACTGTTGCTGGTATGTTGGCCCATTCCTCCATGCAGATCTCCTCTAGAGCAGTGATGTTTTGGGGCTGTTGCCAGGCAACACAGACTTTCAACTCCCTCCAAAGGTTTTCTATGGGGTTGAGATCTGAAGACTGGCTAGGCCACTCCAGGACCTTGAAATGTTTCTTACGAAGCCACTCCTTCATTGCCCAGGCGGTGTGTTTGGGATCATTGTCATGCTGAAAGACCCAGCCACGTTTCATCTTCAATGCTCTTGCTGATGGAAGGAGGTTTGCACTCAAAATCTCACGATACATGGCCCCATTCATTCTTTCCTGTACACGGATCAGTCGTCCTGGTCCCTTTGCAGAAAAACAGCCCCAAAGCATGATGTTGCCACCCCCATGCTTCACAGTAGGTATGGTGTTCTTTAGATGCAACTCAGCATTCTCTCTCCTCCAAACACGACGAGTTGTGTTTCTACCAAACAGTTCTACTTTGGTT